TAAGTATAAATAGAAACTGTTAATAATCTCTATTCCAAATATATTGTTAGGGTGCTACGTATCTATAAAGGAAATAATATTAAAAAAAAAATAAACTTTACAACAATAATATCCTCGAAACCGGACTATTCGTGGTTTTCATAGCCACATAAAAATAAGAGAAAAAAGTTAAACTTTTATGAACAAAAAAAATATTTTTGTAGTAATATTTTTATAGAATTTATTTAAATTTTGCTCAATTAAAATTAATATTGTTTTGAATTTTTCAAACTGGTCTGATTGAAGCCACATTTGAAATGTATTGCTGTACTGCTTAATCGTAATTATTGAATTAAAAAGTAACTAATTACCAAAATTAATTACCAGTTTCTTAATTATTTAATTGATTAAATATATCTATGAGATCTTTGTCTCCAGAAAATGATAGCAATGATATAAGAGAACTCATAGAATTCTATATTAAAATTCAAGTTTTTTGACACTTGAATGTGCTTACACGAGGATTAATTTTAACGTTTAAATGTAAACAGAAACATATTTTGGAATTGAGCAAACATCATTTTAATATTTCCAACATTTCTATCTGGATAAAAGAGTGTTTTTCTTACAAAATGTATTTGTTCCAGTCTTTAATAATTTGATAAATATCTATCACCTTATATAACAAATTCTATGTATCCATTTTGTAAATATAAATCAATAGAATAAATATTCTTACATTATGTACAATAATAAAAATATTACAAAGATTTACTAATATATTTTTATGTATATAAATGTCAGATTTGATAATAATTTCACTAATAAGGAATGGAAACATATTAAGAAGATTGAATTAAACGTAAATTAGAAAGCTTAAAATCTTGTCCATAACATACTATTCTTATTAGGGTTCAACTGCAAGCATGAAAATTAACTTACTGTTAATGTATAGTGTAATTAAAATGTATAATTAAGATTGTCTTAATTGTATTTTTTTATTGTTATTATGTTGTTAACATTACACCTACCACGCGCGGTCAAATGACCGTTTTCGAAATTTCATTTTGGATTTCCTGTATACAACGTTACTGTAAAATCCTGTAATTTGTAAATAAAAACGCTGAAAACGCATAAAATGTACATAAAACTTTTCTAAATAAAAGAAAATATTTTGTTCACTATCCAATTCGCTAAAAACTCATTCTATATTGAGATGGTAGGAATAAGTATACATTTAGTGTTAATTAAGTAATGTAGCAATACCTCGCATAGTGCGGTCAAACAATGCGGATTCACTATAGAATTTTTGTGCTGTTTATATTTAGAAAATCTTTACAAATTAATCCTTAAATAAGAATAAAGCAATAATAATCAATATTAGAATAAACTGTGTTGATTAATCTACTTAATCTAAATGACTAATTGCTAAATTTGTAAATAATTTTGTATAATAGAGACGTGAAAGAATTGATCTTATGCATCTTATTCTCGACTTGCAAAAGCTGCAGCATGTAATTAGAGTTTTATGGTTATTCCAGCAGCACGCGATAATGATTTTACGGTGCGTTATGGACACACAATGACATTTCTTTCGAAGCGCGAACAGCTTTGGCATGTTATATGCAATATAAACGAGGAATAGAAGAACGCTGTGGTCCAGGTGACAGATTTAGTCTCCTTTGAAAGGAGAAGACTCATTTCGCATCCGCAATAAATTTTTTTACTAGCAACAACGGCGTGCGCCTGGAGTGGTGTTTCTTGTAATGCTCATTATAGGCGAGACGAGATGAAGAAGAAATATTCTTCGCCGTCTCTAATGATGTTCACGTTCCATCGCCAACGCGTATAATCAGATGATTATAAACAATTGATTCCTTATCGTTCCAAGTGCGTGGTTGGGCGCGGAAAATTGCGCGAAAATTTCACATTTTAATTGCGACCATTGCGGATGGTCATGTAACGGAACAGCAGACTCTTTTTACGGCCATCAAATGAGGCCGCTAATTAATGCGAATTTTTCCTTAATTAAGAACCCACCGGAACAGAGGGCAATCGTCGTCGAGGCTACCCTTTTGCCGTAAACGATGATGAAAAAGAAGTCTGCGCAAAGTCTGCTAAATAAATAAATAAAAAACGCACAGAGAAGAAATAAATGAGGCGAGCCTCTGCCTTTATGGGTAAATGGGTAAATTATTATAGGCAGATGTTGTCGGTATTTATTACAATGGCTAATTCTGATACGGAACGAAAGACTTCTTCGATTATGGTGCGAGCGCGGAGTGCTAGACGTTGTACCGCGTTCCAGCTAAGCTTTATTTGATTGTTCTTGAAGTACAGTTGGATGCAATGATAGAGGGGAAAAACATTTAGCACCTTCGTCATTGTTTATCGTAGGACGTCGTTCGATCGAACGTTCGACAGGTAACAAGTTCCCTTCCCCAATGACGATTTATTGATGCATCTACCATTGCGTACGTCGTTGAAACTCAAGTACAACTGTACTTACATACAACCTTAACACAAAATCTCCCTAAACGTAATTTGTTTTACAAATTATTTTCTATTCCATGCAGTACATTCTGTATAATGTACAAATAATAATGATAATTTAACAGGCATATAGTTATTTCAGGTAGTTAACCTTTTATTAGGCAAATATTACAAGCATTTACAAATATTCATTTAAATATCTAGTCATTTTACGCAATGTCTCCTACAAGTTTGAAATCAATCAAAAATAAAAATGTGTCATGAATTTTTACGACAAAGTCTTTAACGATATATATTTCATAGTCAAATCTACTTGCTGCCAAGTGGCTGCAATCCTTGACGTTAGTATATCATTTTATATTTAGTCAAATTTTAATTGAAGATGAAAGACCCTGAAACGCTTCAATCTTCTTGTTGTGACGTTGTCCAGAAGACGCATAGAGATGCGAATCAAGCCAGTTTGTGTATTTGTTAGTTGTCTTTGACAACCTCTTCCACTATCTTTATTCCAAAGTACTTATGAAGTCCTTTATTGGCGATGTGCCATGGATTATATAAAATAATGAAGAAAAAAAAGTACGAAATAATCAATATAATTAGATTTAGTATGCCTAGGGTTTATATAATTCCTAAATATTGAGAATTAACTATACTTAATAATAACGACAGATAATACGTATAATAATTAATTGGTTAAAATATGTACACTAAGTCAGTTTCTTCGTTCTCGATCTACTTTTCTACTTAACCCTTTCTCGTCTGACGGTACTTTTAAATACCGGCACATTTATGATTCACTATGTTTCACGTCTCTTTATAACTTCATAAAGAGACGTGAAACAGACCTAAATACTTGTGTTGTGTTTTAAAAGAAATCCAAAGAATCTTTTTTGTATTTCAAGTATGTCCAGGTAACAAAGGGAAGTTTTATTTTCTACAGTTTTACTAGATATAAAACAGATTTAGTTATGAAATATATATTTAATATTACATCACAAATGCGATTTCCAAGTTGGATTTAATTATAACATACGATTTACATCAATTTACCATTTATAAATGAGACAACCTGACAAAATCAAATATACTTAAATTCAAATTAATTTATTTCTAACGAATCAGCTCTCAACGTATTCCGTAGATCACCGTGGATAACTTCAATTAATTTGAATGTAGTATATGCGCACTGCATTTCTTCGTTTTGTTACGTTTCTTTTTTATGTAACAACGTAAATTTCAATTACACCGAGTCACGAAATGCAATCCAACTGTTCCTGCGATACTAGCAGCAGTCAGCTCGCTACAATATATTCTGCACCAGGCGATTCGCAGTTTTAAAAGGACATGAAGCTCTAGCTAGAGCTCTATCCATGGTACTGCTATACTGAATTAAAGCAACTGCTTTTTACTACGACTACTTCAATTTCTTTAAATATAAAATTATAATTGTATATCATCAATACTTGTAACATTTTTTTATTCGTTTATCTGAAAAAGCAGATATTAGTTAATAAATAATGTGAATGTTTAACTTTTTACAATTAATGATACATAATGTAGTTTAATTGTTATAATAGATATATAATAAATATAGCAATACCTCACATAGTGCAGATTCACTATAGTTAATATTTAAAAATCTTCCTCTTTACAGTCAAGTCTATTTTTGTGCTGTTATCGATCTCGATTAGTCCGGGATATTGGCGGAACTGATTAATGGCACTATGCGAGATAATGATCATGTTCATGTTAATCATGTTCAAATCAATAGAAAATTATAAATTAGCGAGAAGTATATTATGTTAGCTACAAAATGTATGATCTAACAATATATCTTTAGAATGAGTTGTATACTGATGTTGCAATACTTTGTTTTTGAACATTCTGCGGTGGTTTTGTGCTACAAGACTAAATTATATGCATTATCAAATAGTTCCAAACGCTCTTCACAAATATTAAAACTTATGGATTATGCAAATAAATTCAAATGGCGTAGAATAAAGAGGAGCTCACGCTCACTACTGCTTAGGTAAATACAAAGGACAGCAAAAATGTGTGTGTATGCGCATAAATGTGTGTATCTGTGTACACATGTATTTGTGCATAGGTATACTTCATTCTGCATGTGAACATTTTCTCGCAGGCAACGGTACAGTTTTCAGGGGAAACACATTACGTCTCGGCCGTCGTTACATAATTTGAATCTTATTACGGCGAAATCTCGCGCCGTTAATTCATCGCAGGCGGCGAGCGCGCGAGGTACGATGGCAAATTGTTTCCTTAAATGGCGTGAATTACGAAATTCCATAATGGCCTTTGGCTCGGCGCAAAATTACCAAATAATTAATTTGTTCGGAAAATTGCCGCGCGGATTTCGCTTTGGCACGACGACACCAACAAGCACCGCTGCAGCAGACGTTAACTGTTACCAAGCATTTTCCTCCAACGAGGATTCCAAAAAGAATCCCGATTTATAGTCTGCCGTCCAGCTGCAAATAATACTAATTTGTTTTCTTTGCGATTCACAGAATGCGTCCTGTCGCCTTTCGTCAGCGGTTCGATGTCGCAGCAGATTCCTTTCGTCTTTCTACCTCTCAAGGGACAGATCATACATCCGAGCAAGGAGATCAGCTTCGCAGGTTTGTATTTGGTCTTCAAAACTACAATATAAAAAAAAACGGATATGAATCGTTTACAACTTGTAGTGGTTCATTAAAACGGTGAGGTTAATGCAATTTCCAATACCAACGATGTGATTAATTTTTAATTATAAATGAACATATAAAAATTAATAAGACCTTCGGAAGAGCAATAAAACTAGGCATGGCTCATAATTAATGACCGTACCGCAGCTCTTACACTAATTTATAGACACACGAGTCGAACCAGTTTGACTTTAATATTTTAGTTAAATACAGATTCAATTATTGATGATTATTATTTACTATCAAAGATATCGCCGCACATTAATGACGTACGATTTTTCTTTCACGGAAATTTACTATAAAATCTTGGATAGAATGTGCAAAATATATGTACTTGATTTAATGATCAAATTTAAATTCGTATATAATACGCACCCAATTTTTTAATGAATCATACAACTTCAAGTTTTAACAAAAAAAAATGGAAAATACAAACAATAACATTAAATTGTAAATTTATATTCGTATATAGTACGCATAATAAAAAACGCAAATATTATTAGGTGACAAAATTCACGTTTCAGTATTGACACCAGAGTTTGTTTGTACTCGAGTATAATACGCACCCTTATTTTTTGCTGGTTTAAATTAATACTGCGTATTATACTAGAGATTTTACGGTACATGCGGAGTGAGATTTAATACCCACTTAAATGTCATTTTAAGGATTTTAGTTCCTTTTGTAAGAGGACGTGGCGAGTTCTTTCAGTTAACACTTTCTGAAGGGCCGTTGAAAAGGACTTCAACTATCGGCAGCGATATGATGAAGCCTTTGAATAATCCACCATCGATTACATGTTGAAAGCCATTGACGGTTTAATAACGTTATTTTACTGAAGGATAGCCATTTTTCTCCACCTGATTATTTGTAAATCGCTGGTGAATGGGGCGAGATGAGACGAGACGAGAGATTACACAGCATCACTGTACACAAAAATGAAATAAAATAAAATAGAAATAAAAGGGGGAGTGTTGAGGAAACTGATGTGCTAAGTGAATTTCCATTTAGAATTTCCCATTGTCCAATCGAACAATTAACCAATCCAAAGGATGCGAACGCGTTGAGCCAATAAATGTGATTAAACACTCTCAATCAAAACTCGTTTCGCGCCTTCATCATTATTATTATTATTATCATGGAAGGCGTATGCTGGATCTTGAATTCCGCAACGTGTGGTGAGTGCCAATGGTTGGATCAATACACACACATGTGATGTGATGTGCACAAATCTATTTTGAAGAAATGAAATGTGCAAAAAAAAGGACGATCCGAGATTACAGTTACCAGGAACATGTGCGTAATTATCGAGAACTGCAAGTCAACTTGCTTGTGTGTATGTGCTGTTGCTTTTCCTGGTCATGAACACACGTTGTCTACAATTCCAATTAAATTTTAAATACTTTCCGACCTTTTTTCCTTTTAATTTTGTCTTTGCTATTTCTAAGTGCTGTTTTCGAGGACAATAAAGTTTTAATTTCATTATATCTCTTTATTAAATGTTCACAATTTTATTAATTAGTTAAGTTTTCCATTAGAGTTATACAATGTTTTAATTTAATATTCAATTTACTGCCCAGTTCGTTTAAATTAATGTAATAAAGCAGTTTTTTTAAAAATCATTAAACCATTAATCGTGCATACTAAAGCTAACACATTTAACTGTTAAGTTGGGTGTGCCAAACCAAGTTATGTATATCTAAATTGCATCACATTAAATTAAATTACTGGACCAAAAAAAAACACAAGTTCGGCATTCAACGTAAGGTTACAATTTCAATATAAAATGTATACTGTCAAGAGTGGATTAAAAAGTGGTAATGATATAATATCAAGTGTTAAATCTAAGTAATAAATGTATTTATAACTCAACAACAGTAAAAAAAAATAAAGCGACTACACAAAGGTAGGGTTCAAGGTACTTGGCCAGAGGCGCAATTAATGTGCACCTCTTCATTTTATAAGCTGGCAATAAAATTGGAATAAATTTCACAATTCATAATTCCCACGAAGCGTAACTTCCGGCCTCTGATTAGGTCATACCTTGTCTGGATCTGAGCACGTGCCTCTAACGATTAAATGGATTACTATTCTTTCTTTTCTCGGCAGCTTTTGTATTTTTATTTTTTTTTATATATAATTTAGTAATTGCGTTGAAATCCCGTTGGTTAAGAAATTAGCAGGAGAGGAGTTTTAATTCCTTTTTTTTTGCTATTTCCATTTATATCTCAGCATTTCTTTGCACTGTTTCTTTTAATTAGTCTGCGATGGATAGAATTAATCATTTTGCATTTGCATTAAAAAGGGATCCGGACACCTGTTTGCGGCATCTCCGGGGCGAAGTTCCTAACAGACGGCGGATGGATCGATCTCAGGAATCCGCTAGACACAGATGTGCCATTCAGACTGTTCCGAGATGAAGGCAGGACGTTTTTGCAAGTAAGAGGAATTTTACTTTTCATCGCAATTGCGAAATTATTCCATTCATACACTTTCATTTCATACCAAACAAAGATCACTGCTGTTATAACTTGATGTGTAGTTTTTTTTGTTTGATTGTTGGTTTAAACTTTGTTGATTACGAAATCATTCATCGTATACAGTATGTTGGATCATTTGTGTTTAACGCTAGATTTACGGACTATTTTTACTTATATCCGTCATTTTGATATGCATTTTTTTAATAATATTAGTTCATTTTAATTCATTTCATATTTTGTCAATAGCTTAAAATCACATTATAGCTCCATCAATTATCAGGAATTAATGAAAATTATATAGTATGTAAAGAGAGATACGTATACATAACGTTATGCCAATATAAAACAATATGTTTTCTGTATTTTTAAGCATGAAAACAATTCAATTGATGTGATCCATAAATCTAGTGTTAATAATTGTATCTTTACAATCTTGCAAATAGTATTCAAACGGGAGTTTTCCTTATATTAATTTAATAATTTAAAGTAGCAGTTGCTCTTGCTGAAATATTCAGGTGTGCCCTTGGAATTCAGAATGAAATGATTTCACCTCTGATTCGTTTCTTTTTGTGCTTTTTGCAGTGGGTAGGTGAGCCCGAGTTGCGTGCCCGTATGGGGGGCCGCTTGGTTCTGGTCCATCTAATGTGCAAGGAGATCTCGACCGACATAGATCGGGACCAACCAGCACCTACAGCAGCAGCTACAGCAACAGCAGCAGCGCCGCAGGTGCCGTTGGTATTCACGCCGTGCGTGGCCTTCCGCATTGTCGGAACTCCCACGAAATATTTGAACAGTAAATGAACCAGAACGCGCTCGATTGGAAATGAATTACCTAACTTTGAAACTGATTCTGCAGATGTCAGCGAGGTGGTCTTCTCCGCGGATGCCCACTCCAGCGAGAGTTCAGCAGGAAGCGGTCTCAGCGTTTCCGAGTACGTTGCTATAGGCATCTCCTCCGTCCTTCTCGGTCTGATTTACGTCGCTTCTGTGTTTCTCTATCTGCATCTTCGCAAACGACGCAAAGAGTCTGATAAGATGATCGAGCGCAGAGATAACACGACTCTCGCAGGTGCTGAAGAAGGCATCATCAAGAACAATCCTCTATTGGGCTTGAGTCGACACTTTTCGATGCCGGATAACAGCTTTAGCGATTCGTGCAGCTCGGACACTGACGTTACACCAGACATTATCCAGCATCACGAAGACAGGAAGAAAAACGTAAGAATTACAATCGCATTCAACGCATGACCGTCTCCAATCAATATACATTTTGTTCAGATTCATATTACGTCTGCAATGATCCATCCGCCGCACAACTTCGAGGCGCTGTTCAATTCGCATCCTATCCATCAAGTGATGATGCATCAAGAGAGCATCGAGCGACTACCCGAGGAGAACGTGTCCATCATCGAGACCATCGAGGGCAGAGAAGAACGGCCGGACACGGTCAAGGTTATCGGCACCACCAGAAGGAAGCTCTATTTCAATCCTGCCTATTTCGAACCCCAATTGCTACTCGTACGTCATATAAAGCATAATCCTTCTAAGATAATATCTCTAAAAATAAATATAACAATTACAGGCGCCACCACCCGCAGCCATAGAATTCCTCACAAAGATCCGCGAAGTTATCTCCATAGCCAAACAGAAAATGGCTTCGAAAAAGTTCACTCCTAGCTTGAAAGGCATTCCGGAAGAAGATACCAATTATGCCGTCGACGTGGGTTCGGATTACGTGAAGCCTATAGGAAGTCGCCGGAGCAGCGTGATTAGTTTGAAGCGGGAAAACAGCAGAAGAAAGAGGTGCTCTGGTTGCCCAGGCTGCGAGCCGCAAGATTTCAAAGCGCTGTCCGGTAAGCTTCCGGAATTCCCATCTTTAGCCGCTTGCCACACTTGCGCAACAACCGCGGATAATAACAAGCAAATAAGTATAAGGAAATGGCTTGAAGATATACCAGTTCTGAAGACGCCGCAGAATACAGAAGAGATCCCGACTATCATTGTGAAACCTAAGAAAATTACCAAGCGCATCAGATCTCCGACAAGGTCTCTCTCCCCAGATTATATAACTCCGCATATTAGAACCCTATCCCCTCGTCCTGCATCTGAACGTGCTCGATCTCCTGCATTCAATAAAAACTCTTCTTTAAAATCCTCATCTTCCAAGAAAAGTGTGAGCACCGTCCGGACCGCCAACAGTAGACGCAGGAAGGAAATTGTCAAACCGAAATGTCCTCCACCTCCTCTACCAACAATGCCTAAACATTTCCAAATGGAACAGAATATCTACGATGTAATTGCCGAGCCGAAAGCTGCGCTTCCTCCCCCAGATATGATCCATGAAGCTATGGCAGTTGATTGTAAAGAGGATCCTAAAATTACTACAACAACTAAAAAGAAGATGAAAGCTGTTATTAATGAATTATCGAATTTGAATGTTGTTGATTCGAGCCCTGAGCTAGATATGCGAAAGGAAATTGATTATGAGGCGGATAGTTTAGAACGGTCGAGGCACAAAGGATTCAGCACTCCATCCGATTACGCAGAAGTTACTTCATCGCAACCCAGTCCAAGCTTAAGCTCTGCACTTCCTATGGATGAAGAAATGACAATGAGGAATGCAATAATTAACACTAAAACTGGAAATATGACTATATCTAAAATCAACATGGAGGAAGTGTTGAAAAGCGATGATCACGACTATGAACTGATCGTACTGAAGAAAGGAGACAACGGAAATAAGATGTTCAAGCTTCCTGAGTTGCTGCAAAGGAATAGCGGTTATAGTTTAGTCAGCGAAGTTTACGTTAACAATGGTTATAATTATGGGAGTGCGCCTTCGACGCCTTCAGAATCAAATTGTTCCACGATGGAGAGAGCGCCCAAAATTATTTACGAAGAAAACAAGCCCGGTCATTTATTAATTGAGGTCGGGGATTGCGCCGACAATTACATTAAAGCGGAAGATTCGGATAATTTTGAACCGGACACGCTGGATCGTAAACCCAAGATGAAAATCTTCAATTCAGCCTTAAGCGACAATGAATTCGTTGACTCATTGGAACGTCCCACGCAAATCATGCTGCGCACAACGGGAAGCTTCAAGAAGGACTCAATGACCGATGCGACCGATCAAAAGAACGTTTGCAATTTCAATAGGAATTTTGGAAGCCTTCGAGAAATTTACGAAGCGAAGGTAAAGAAGTCACTGGGAGAGGTTAACTGGAGAAGTCAGGATTTCGAGGGTAGAATTTTAACGTTGGAGGAACGGCATTGCAGGAGGCAACGCAAATCTCCGACAATCCAACCAGATGTGATTCCGCCTCATCGGGAAGTGAGCGATGGTCCGATATACGAGCATCCAAAACCACCCAGGAAGGTTCAAGGTAGTAAACCTCCTCTGCCACCAAAAAACGGGCCAGTTAGAAGCACCGAAGACACCACGACCGGTGCTTCTATCGAGAAATCAAAGTCGGATTACGAAAGTTGCAACCACCTGAAATCGGACGTAAGCATCTTGAAGAACTTCATCCATGCGGACGACGTGATTTTTAAAAACGGTATCAACAATCAATTCATTTTGCAAGCAGCGACGATAACAACGAATCCGCTTAATTTAAGGAAGGTGCAATCACTGAAGAAAGAATGGCGTAAGGTGATCAACGTGAAGCCAGAAGATTCCGGTTATCTGAGCACCGATTCCAGCGACTCGCACAAGAAGAAGATGAAAGATCTGGAGCGCGCCAGTGCCGGAAGTGAAACGGACGAGAGTTTGGGTGACGGACACAGTGAATCTGGTGCGGAGAGCATCGAAACCCATTCCGTGTTCTTCGGAAGTTATAGGAAAACCTCTTGCATCGCAGGATCCATCGACAGCGGCGTCGGATCAGATCTTAAACCGACTGAAGCCGTCGCCAGTCTGGAGGATCATGCCAGTAGCAGCGATTCCGAAACAGTAAGTTACAGTACCGTCGTCACACCGTTACGCGCAAATAAATAGACGTATTATAGCCAAAATCGTTCCTAAGCAAAACAAATCTAAATTTATATTGTAAATATTTTATTATTTTTTTTTGTAAATAATTTGTTTAATTTTTAATCGATTAATTTTAATAAAAGGATCCTCATCCATGATTTACTTTCACTATATTGTGATAACAATCTGGCCGGACGTGCAATAAATTAGTTTTTAAGGAAAATCAATATTAATTTTTAAGGAACAATTTAATTTAGCTCAAATCATTTGCTGAAATTATATATAATATTTGTAGACTGCATTTACTTTAAGAGAAATATAATAATTCAAAAATATAAAAATAAATCATGTATATAGATATTAGTGACAAATCTATTTTATTACGTCTTATTTTATAAACAATTGATATTAAAGGATATCTTTCAATAAAAATATAAACTGAATTTGAACAATAATTTACTATCAAAATTATAAATCAAATTTATAAACATCAATAACTTAACTATAACTAATTTTTATTACTTTTTATACGTACTACGTATTTTATTTCTAAATAAAATAATTTCGATTTTCGCAAATTGTACAAAATATTGATCAAAACAAATGACATTAAACCGATTTTTCTCAAAAGAAAAATCATGTGGTGATAATGTCAATGAACCAAACATTTTAACCGAATTGATTATAAAATAAGACAAAAAAATAAAATTATAATTCGCCAAAATTAGTAATTTCAGCAATTGATTAAATTATTATATTTAGTCTTTACTTAAATGTATTATAATTACGGCTATTTTTGCCAAAATTGTGCAATATTTTACTATAGCATCAACATAAAAGCAATGCTCAATATAAGTATTCATATAATAATTAATTGATAATTATAATTAAACCTATCTATTAAACGTATATTCTTTGTGATCCTGTTGTGCAATATTAAGTGCAATACATTTTTTTTTATCTCGTTTACTTTAATATAATTTATGTTACACTAAGCTTACAATAATTTGCGAAATTAAATATATTATTTGTTAATATTATGGTTATAATTAATTGTATTATTTTTTTTTTGGGAATTTTTGTATATTTTTCTTCAGTTCAGTTTTCTATCGGTTTCTCACAATCCTCGTGACTAGGATCAAAATGATGGGACAAAAATAAACTTTATCATATTCTTTTACACTTCGAGGAAATTCGATTAGTTTATTAACATCCATATTTTTGAATCGTCGGTTGATAGAAACCTGAATCAAAGAAAGATGAAACGCAGTCGCTTCCATGTACCTGCAAGATGTATAGAAAAAAAACGGGTATTTGGGTCGTTCTGAGGGTTTAATTGTTCAGGGTGCAGGGATTTGTATTTTCTTCGAGAAATGTTTACTTTTTTTTAGATTTTAGATCTGAAATTCGCGGCTTGAAGAGTTGCGAGTTTATATCTATTCGCTATTATTTAAACGTTTCGTTGTCTATTTTTATTTTTTTTATATATGTGATGTACTTTTACTTTTAGCGATCGATGTGGGTATGAGCAATATTAGTTTTATTATGTGTAGAATAATAGATTTTTTCTATCTGCTGTAGATTATAGAATATGTTTGAATAGGAAAAAAACATTGTATGATGTAAATAATATTAATATTGAATATTATTTTATATATATTAATAATTTACTTTGTTGCCGTTATATATTTTCCATTGTTTCGTTTTGTTACAAGATGTGTTCTGTTAGTAGTGTTTTTTTTTGTGTATTATTATTTTATTTGGTGTTCAGATCTTTTATTGTAAATAGACTTACAATATTTTATTTCAATTTGTTATTACTTTGTTTTTTTTTTAATATTTCTCTGTCTGTTACTTCAAGTACGATATCAATAAATATTTATTTACTTCGAAGAAGCGGTACGTGTTATTTCTCCTGCAATTGCGGATGAGCAGATTTATTTGGGTGATTCGAGACGCTCGTACAATAAATCTGTAGCCAATTCGCGTTCGATTAGTTTGGTCCTGGCTTTCCGATAAATATCCGTGACATCGGCATTCGGGTCGTGGCAGGAGGCATCAACGAAGTTCCTTTGGAAAGTGGAAGCGATGTTAATTTGTTCGCGAAGGCATTCCCCGAATTTCCTGGTGATTGCCTCCGTACCGATGATTTTTTTCGACAGCGAATCCCCGGTTCGAGCATCGGAATCCGGCCGCAACGGAAGAATGTTAATGCTCGGGGTTATCGTGGAATGTAAATGGTGCAATAAATGCTCCAGATTGCCGGTGTCCCTGCGAAACGAGAAAGAAGATAGAAGGATGATACTTCTTCGATCGAATAAAGCGAGAATTGCGGACGTACCTGAAGAAAATCGTTATGTCGTAACCATCGCCGCTTCGGCGGTACCTAATAATGGATCCATTGACTGTGTCGCCTATGTCGTCTGCCAAGAAATACTTGTCCGCTCCGAATTCTATAAGTCTGAGCATCGAGTCGACTATTAGTTTCGATTCCAAATTGTCGTCGGCTAAATCCGCGTGAACCGTGATCTCGCTTAAAGTGGAGAGAGATGCAAGAAGAGCATTAACATCTCCGTTCGCCAAATCCACGGTTTTCACGTCGATGCGGCTCGTGTAATCTTTTACATCGATCGCGAATCCAGGTAGGTTGATTTGACCATCCACACCTTTCCTCTTGAATACCAAAATTCCGCGACAATCGTAGCGCGAATACCTCGCGAATTTCGGCTCATCGACGGACACGATCAGCAGCGCTGATCTCTCAATCTCATTCGTAACTTTACTCCCTGCATATACACTTGATGAGTAGTTTCTTCTTATTTCTGGAGTCCAATGAAGTACCACGGTAATATCTGTTAATGCTCTGAAACAAACAAAACGTGTTAAATTTTACAAAATTTTTAACAATTTTTCAATAGCAATTATTTGTCAGAATATAGAAGCAATATAAAGCACATGCCAGAAATTAATTAATAGAATTAAAGAAATTATTATATTATGACAAAAAGTCATTACTTTAAAAAATAAATAAATAAAAAATTCTAATTTAAGTATGTTGTATTTAAGAAAACTATTTTTTTCGAAATATAACTAATGAAACACCAATATTAATTAATTTATTAATTGATAGTAAAGACATATGGTCAATAATATTTTGTGTTTACCGCTAATAATCAGAATTATCTATATGTATTGATTTGTTTGTATGACTCTTTCAATGAACGTTATTATATAATCATAAATATCTATTGAAAAATATGTTTTCATATTACAATCATTAAATCAATTATTATAATTGTCTACTAACCATTGGTTTTTACTTGTTGGTACTTTAATGTAATCTTTATACTGTATAGAAAAATTTTTTGTTTTGCAATTAGAAACACAAACTGACTATAAATCTACATTCAAGTAATACTTGTCACTTCTGTATAGGTTATTTTTTTTTAAATTGTATCGGAAAAAAAATTGATTTATGAAAATTGATCTGTTTTTGTAATCTAAATCACTATAATTCACATTTTTTTTTTCATTGAAAATATTGCCGAAATTTAATAAACATTTCACTTAATTTTAATGTTTTAAAAGAAATTTAAAGTTTTTTTTATTTTGACTATGTTCACGTAACATAGAGTTACAAAATAAAATTTGTATAGAAAAATATTCATATAATAAAAACATAAACATTATATAAAACCATTTATTTCATAGATAATAATATATTAGAAAATGAAACAAATTCATAAAAACACAATAATTTTATTAACAATATTAGTCTGCGCATAGAATATTTCACATTTTTTAATTACGCCAATAGACGCATTAATGGATTAAATATTCAAAAATATTTTTAAATATGAAAAACATTATCAAAACAGTAAGAATGCATTTTAATAATTTGTAATTCATAACAAATTTAGATCTATAATTATCAAAAAAAAAAATGAACCCAGTGGAAAATACAAAATTGATATTAGTTGATTTAATATTGTTATCTTTATCATAAATAATCACTATGGATAGAAAACTTATTAGTATTTATAAGGTATAACCTTGTCCACTATTATTATTATATTATTAACGTAATATAATACTTCCATATTAAATTTAATTGATATTCATTAATTAGTACATACTAGTTTTCAGCTTGGATCAGTATGAAGTCACTGTAGTACGGTTCGAAAAAAAAGTACATATATATTTAAAACACAATTTTTTGTGTAGTTTTAAAGTCCTCGAATAGTCCGGTTTCTAATTCAAAGATATTAGCACAACCGATCTATGAAAGGTATTGCAGGTATATTAAAAACTTGAAATACTTCAATAGCTTTTTTTTGTCAGAAAAAGTAACAAATACATAAGATCATTTATTCTATACAATAAATCTACAGAAAATACCAGAGAAAACAGTAATTTCGTATTAAAGTTATTTTTTCAGTCAATGATATTTTCGAATTATATATCTTATTAAAGTTATCAAACCAGTAGAAACATGAGATTTTTAAATCATTTATTCATTTCAATATGCGTTCGAAAAGCAAATAGAAACGATACATCAGTTCTTGTAAATGTAAACAGACACGAGATACATCTGCCACAGCACATGTTATTTCCAATCGTTTTGTCATTGAATGTAATCAAATAAATAATATTGGATCAATACTTTCAATTAATGAAAAAAATGATTCAATAAAACACACTTAATTAGTTTTCAACTAATGATCTTGATTTTTAATTTGTATGTCATTTTAAAGTTATCAAACCAGAAGAAACATGAGATGTTATAAACTGTTTATACATTTCTATCTTCGTTCAAAAACTCATAAATAGAATCGATATATTCGTTCTTGTAAATGTAAACAGACGCGAGATACATCTTCCAATGCAAATGCTGTTTTCCATTGAATGCAATCAAAACGAGATAAATATAGTAAATAATATTGTTTAATCAATGAAAACGCATAAGAAAGTGATTCAATAAAACAAACTTCATTATTTTTCAGCAAATAATCTTGATTTTGAATTATGTCGTGTTAAAATTATCAAACCAGTAGCAACGTGTAATTTATATAAATTGTTTATACATTTCGATCGTCGTTCACAAACTCATAAATAGATCAACAAATACGAACGTCCATCACAGTTCTGGTAAATGTATACACACATCTGCCACTGCATATGCTGTTTTTTCCAATCGTTTTGTCATTGAATGCAATCAAAACCGTAAGTACAGTAAACAATATTGGATAATCAAAAGCTGTAATAATACGCAAAAGGCGCGCAGACGCCCCACAATTGTTGTTGTCGCGTGTGTGTGAAACGAGCTAGAAGTGGGGATTGAATTGAATGAAGAATTGTCTGTAATTATAGCCGGTATCGAAGGACGATCCGATTTCCTGGCATTAATTGTTGCTCGGTGCAGACGCACTTTCGGTTTGCGCAATTTATTGTCCACCCATTTGGGACTGTTGCTGCTGCTGATTGTTAGGTGGTATTTCTCATTCGATGGGTCCGGATGGACGAGTCGTCGAGCTAAATTTAAATCTGTTCCGCACGTTCGCCAATTAATTACTCATTGCGATCAGACGCGACCGAAATGTTGCTGTCTCCATTTATTTTCGTCCTTATTTAATTTGCGGTGAGTTTCATGAATGTACATACCAATAAAAAAAAAGCAATATTATCATAATTTGACTGCTAAAAAGTAGAATTGAAATTACGTTTCCAAAGAATAAATATTAGTTGCATAATTGGTTAATTTCTTATTGTTATGAAATGCTAATTAATATATGGAATAATTACTCTATTTTCGTTTCATTTCTTCAGTCTATATTGAAAACAAGATTTGCAAATCAATAATAAATGACGAATTTAGAATTATTACATAATATTTACTAGTTTATATAAATATTGACATAATAATACATTATCTGTACAAAATTGTAAACATATGCATATGTGCAATCAAAGTAATTTGTAAACTAGTTAACAATGTTCCAATTTCTTCCTTTACTTAAACAAACAAAAATAAAATATTTATTATAAAGTTAAAGAAAAACTTATTTTTAATGTAAATAATAAAAGTCTAATAAAAATATACATATGTAAAATTTCTAACACTGAGTTATTGCATTTTCCTCATTTTTTTCATTAATCTTCAAATTAAAAAAAAATGTATGAAATACATATGAAAAGTAGTGCGGCTTCGAACAGTCCGAATTCAATATATTCCGGTCTAAAAATTTCCAAACAAAATTTAATTAGTATACAAAAATGATCACCTTTTTTTCGTTATACTGTGAAGATTCTTATTGTATGAATTATTTCAATTTAATTTAGTTCCTAGCTTAGTTCAGTTTCAAACAATCGGGAATTGATTGCAAATGCAACAATACCTCGCATAGTGCGGTTTTTCAAATAATGGCGCATTTCGTGAAATTGAATATAAATGTTCAATTTGCATATCTACTTATTAAAATTAAACAAATGTTAAAGGTATGACTTCATATTTTTATTAATAATGTATTTAATATGAAATAGATAATTATGAGATGTTAGTAGAATTTCTTTGTAATTTGTAATTTGAAATAATGAAATTTAATGTTTACGAAATAAAATATATTCAACGAAATTGTAACATTAATATGTTTTAGTACATTTGCTTCTATTATATTAATGAATCAGTTAATACAATAATCTAATGATCAGTTAACAAACAAAATCCGTTCAAAGACGATGTTTGTTAAGAATCGATTTAAAAGACGTCTTAAGCTTCAAATTACTAAAAGGAACGTCAATCTGTCTGTAAAGTGTTCTTTCGTAAAAAAAAATATTAGTAATTTATCCGAAGTTTTATTTGGTGGTCAATTAAAGTGACCCCAAATATCAAAAAGATGATTTCAGTAATATTCACTCGCTTATCGACTTTAGAGCTAGTAAGTAGTTTCGTTGACGAGCAACACTGCCACAATATCCAAAAGCAAAAATAAGGTAAATTATCTACTGTTATAAAGTTGCATGTAAAGTATCAATAAAAGAATCTGACCCAATTACCGTACTCAAGCAAACTAAGACGTATGTTCCACTCATTTAGAAATAACAAAGTCAAACTGTTATAATATCGTTTCAACTTATCAAACAGAAAATTTATATGATTTCCTAAACTAACTCGACTTCATAATCTACAATAGTATATTAATGAATTACTGAGACGTGATACATTATGTAACAGAAACGCCCACCGCAGACGGAACGTAACGCAACGCAGGCTCGGATTTTTTCGTTTTGTTTCTTGCTTTTTTACGAGTAGTTTTCATCGATTTTCACCGAAGTAATCAAACATATGGAGGAGGCACGGTACTGCAGTTCCAATGTTTATTTTATTAAAAAAAAAACATTTGCGGCAAACGCGTTGAATCGTCTTTTTTGTTTTTACGTAATTACACACCTCGCAACGCATTTGCTATTCCAGTTTGAAGTTTTACAACAATAATTAAAAGCCACTTTTATAAGCACGCTTCATTCTCGTTTCGTTATTGATTGTCACTTCTTTACTCTCATCAAAAAATATAAGTATTTTAACAATATGCATTTAAACAAATACAAAATTATTTATATAATCTTAAAAGATCATCAATTATTATCCGTTACAATCTTTTGCCAAAAAAATGTTTTTTTTTCGTAAAATCGCCAAAAAGTAAATTATTTTTAGTACAAAATGCTAGTAAGTATAAAAAAATAATTGTAATATTAGTATATATTTGAAGATGTTATTATCGATTTATGCTGTGGAGTTTCGTTATGAAAATTTAATTGTGTATGAAGAGACAAAAGTCGGGATTCTCACGTTTTTCCAATCAAAAGTAATGATTGTATGAATAATACATAAAGCAGTTGTAGATATGAATTGCATATTGTACAGACAGATTAACGACCTATTGTTCATTTGAATATGTATTGATCCATTAAACGGCAACAATAGTATAATTTCGTGATATTTATTACAGAAGTTCAGTAGTTGCTTGAGATAATCAGTTTTTTTTATTATTGTAACAAATGTGTCAATAGATTTTTTTTTATAAAATTTAGAACATTCAATATTTTCAAACACGTTTTTTAAAAAATAACATAAATGATGTAACAACTTATTACAAGCAAAATTTAGATAGATATAAAAAAAAGATGTTCCAAACAATCGGTTAATGAACAAATATAATTGTGTTCATTAACCGAAAACCCACTGTAGATCTCTTTCAACTAGTCACTTACTGAGTGGGTTATTGTCTTGGCTATATCTCATTAATATTTCAATTAAAATATCCATAATTATCGAACAACGTCAAATAATTCTCTTTTCTTACATAAATGTTATATATACAATATTAACCAATTCGGTAAGCAACTGTTCTTTCACATCAATTTTTTCAAATAAAATACGCACACGTTTTCCAGTTAACCCTTTGTCATCTGATTGTACTTATAAGTACCAGCACATTTATGTATGAATTATAAAAAGATGTGAAACAGATCTAAATACTTGTACACCAATTTAATGTAATCTTTATATTACATACAAAAATTATTTGTTTTACAATTGGAAACACCAAGTAATACTTGTCACTTCGGTATAAGTTATTGTTTTAGAAAATTAAAATTGTAAAGCAGAATACCATGAAATAAATTTATAAAATAATAATATTATTAAATATATATATATATGAAAATTGATCTATTTTTGTAATCTAGTTTCAAATAATATTGATTAATTTGTATATAATTATGATACCAATTGTAAACTTAAAATATTTAATACATAATTTATATAATTGAAGCAAAATAACAACAAATATTATAGAAATTTTTGATACAAGTTCTTATTTTTATAAATCATTAAAAAATGAAATTGATAAAATTAGCGTATTTTATGTTATTTCCATTCATTGATTAGTATTAAAACATATTTTAATGCCAGTTTAACAACAAATATTTAAATTTCTTCAAAATTTTATTTTCTAATTCATTTACCATACATTTTTAACTTACATATTGTTATACCAAATATTAAACTTCTAGCGTATTTAATTTTATTTTCATTGAGCGCCGAAATAACGTTTTAAAATTCTTTTATTCCCCAAATCATTTATTATATATTTTTAACTTACATTTTTATTATAATAAAATTCACAGTTCTTTACATTTTCATTTAAAAAAATAGCGTATTTAATGTTATATCCATTCATACTAATCCGACAATAAATATTCAAGTTTTAAAGTGCTTCAAAATTGTATTCTCCGTTCATTTATCATACATTCTTAACTTAACTTTTTTTTTATAGCAAATCGTAAATTTCTTTTGCATTTACATAAAAAGTATAGTATTCAATGTTATTTTAAATCATTTTATTGCTAATCCGACGATAAACATTCAAGTTTCAAAGTTCTTCAAAATTGTATTTTCCAATCAAATATCATAGTTTTTTTAACTTATATGTTTTAAATTAGTGGACTATATTATGAGGACTATATTATAACTCATCGCTGAGCAACCGTTCTTACTAGGAGAGCATAATTTAGAAATGCAGCAGAACCGTGCGAACCGTGGGTTGAGGAGGGGCAGCCTCCCACACTGGGGTAATATTTAAACATGAAAATAAATAATAACAATACTATTTTTCGCGACAATTATGAATTTGAAAAATCTCTTTATGTTCAACTTTCCCAAAGGAAATGGAACTTCGGAATAGACTGTAATATTATTAACACATTTTGTGCGGGTAGACCATTGCGGCAACTGCATCGTGTAGCGCAATGGTTCTCAAACTTTTTTTTAGACTTAAAAAATTTAAAGGACCCCCGAAGAATGGGTATGTATGGAAAAACGTAGAAAAACATACCGTCCCGTCTCTCATCAATTTTTCTGTAACCCCCACTTTGATAATCACTGGTGTAGCGAGCAAAATCATGAATTTCGTAACTTAGCCTTCGATATAACAAGATAATTGATATTTTTAGTCTTACAATCTTGACGTCGGATTAGCAAAGGGCCGTGACATGTCTATAGAAAGAGATGCATTTACGGAAAAAACTAACGTACGTGACATCAAGCGAAAAACAGTAATAATACCCGCCCTGCACAAGATGTGTTAATACATAAATTCTAATTTTAATGAAAATAAACTAAATTATTCATTTAGATATTTTAACGCTGGACACCTCACAGTTGCTTCGCGGCTCCTTGCTGACCCCTGTTTTAACAGAAATAAAACATTCAGCTTAAATTAAGTATAAATATTAGAGATATAACTACAATCACTTTAAATTATTGCGCAATTGATAATATTGTTGTTTTTTTATTTGGCTATATTGGGATACCAAGATTCACACAATAACAATCACAAAATGGTTGCAATTTACGTGTTTGATGACTTATAGTTATTATAGTTTTTTTATATGTCTTTTACGATTGTTATACATATTATTAAGATAATAGTATCAGTTGACTCTAATTAAGCAATTTATGTAAATTAAAGCTATAAATGTATTCATCTAAATCACCAATATCTTAGCCATTTTTAAACCGGACTAATCGAAACTTATCGAGACAAAAATAAAAAGAGACTTTACTATATAAAGTGTTTCCCAACGTATGGGGCAATTTGATTGTTAAGGGGGCAATCCGAAATTGAACAAGTCTAGAGTTTAACCGCATTATGCATATGTTACATAAGGGACATAGGCTTTAGTGGGGCATGGCACAAAGAAGGTTAAGAACCACTGGTGTAAACGACATGGCCCACTGATGGGTCATGTATTATGTATAATAGTTTAGTTGCTATGCACACCACTGAAGTATTAGCGTTTAAGTTTGTAATTGACATAAGATATTTGACGTTTCAAACAGTCTATAACGTGTTGTATAAATAATATTTTTTTACAAGGCACAGTAAAACAAATTATGGGAATTATACGTGGAAAATTTTCATATAACACGTTTTCGTACATCGCGTAACGTACTAATTTTTAGAGTTTATTATTATTCAAATTTAGTTAGATTTGAAATTTTCAATCTAAACTATAGTGAATCCGACTTATGAAAGCCGCACAATGCGAGGAATATAAATCATTCACTAGCTTGTTTCAATTATTTTAGAACTTTGTATACACTAATAGCATTTAAATATAAGTACAAATAAGAAGTAAAATACTACAAATGTGAAAGTGCCGTTAAGTAATTCGAATAAATCTAAACGAATATTGTATGCGTTTACTCAAATTGTAGTAGAGTAACTTTTCTGCATTGCGGCAACTGCAAATAAGTAGTTTATTCGCTGTTGTTCAAATAGAGAGGTTATCAGCAGGCAGTGAGATGGATTACATAATAGAAGAAGGACTAGGGATAAAGGGATACAGGAAAAGATGTTCAAAGAAAAAAGAAATAGAGTAAATTTTAATTCGTCCGTAATATGAAAAGGAGAAACGTGAATCAGAACGCGCCGGCGTGTCCTGGCAGGATCGACCCGGGCGAGCGCTGCTCCTGCACAAGGACTGCCGCAGTCCTTATCCTTCTATCAACAGCCGCGACCGCGTTCGGCCTTTTCCTTTTATTTTTACGGAAATCGAAGCGAAACTAAACAGCAGCAACAACAGCACGAAAATTTAATACAAAAAAAAAATAGAAACAAACTAAAAGAAGCATTCTTTTCCATTCATTCCACGAAGATGTAGTCGACTTTAAAGAGCTGCAGCAACGCATTTGATATTTTATACCCAACGAACGAATAATTATTATTTGATTTTATCAAGCAACATATATACAAGAAACTTTAAACAATTAATTGATATTATCGATATCCAAGTCTTCCATTAGCATTAATTGTTAACCGTTGTTGTTGTTGTTTTTTTAACGATAAGTCCCGCAAATTCCTCCGAGCCATTTTCGTTCGACTAAAATTCAAAATAAACACGATGCAGCTTCTTGTTTTAATAATAAGTTGAACCTTCGAGCGATATACCGCAGCTTCTGGTAAATAATTTCTTACTTCACATGCAATAATAGCATTTAAATTTGACATAGCACAAATTTTAATAAAAACAGACACGTGGTTTCTTAGTCTTATAAGTAATGATAATCTATAAAGTAATATTAACAATCTTAATTCGATTAAAAATAAACTTTTTCATTATTTACATAAGAGTTTTTTCAATTAATAATTTATTTTATTAATTAATTTCTCGTTTATAATTAATCACGTATTTCACACATTAATAGCTTTAAATTAGACCTAGCGCATATTTTAAGTAAACAGTCGATGTAACTCAGATAAATTAATGATAAGATTAAAAAAAACTTGATTTGCCGAAGGATAAAACTTCTTAGGTTTTAAAATATTTAAATATATTTATAAGAACTATTTTTATATAAAATATAGATTTTTTTTTAACTAACTTTATTCGTTTCTCGTTGATAATTAATGTCTTTGACACGAAATAATGTCATTAAATAAGATTAGGCACAGATGTAGAGTAAAGAGTCACGTGGATGTAATTCAGATAATAAACTAATGATAAGATAATTTTTCGAAACAAGCTTTAGTTTAGTTGAAGAAACGTTGTGAATGAATGCTTTTAAAATATTTACTAAGCAGATTATGTTACTAAGAAATAATTTGTAAGTCTTATTATATTTAATTATTTATTATTACTTATATCATATATTATATATATGTTATAATTATTACAGTTATATAATTAACTTAACTCATTATGTTATCATACGTAACTACGTATTATTTAATCAAGAAAGCTAATATTCATTATAGTTAAAAACATATTATTATTTGAAAAATATTATCAAAATCGTTTCTATTCTTAAATAACCAATTCTTACATAATTACATTACATTACTATACAAAAAATGAATTAACTTTGAACTTTGATTAGTGTACCAATAAATTAAGTGTAAGTATTTTTTATAAATGGATTAATTACAAAAACTGAATTAATTTTAATGTTTATTATAACGTAATATTTTCAGTAATTAAAATAAAAACTTAATTAATTTGTAGATTATTATAAAGTAATATTTAAAATAACTCTGTTGAAACGATTCATCTTAATTGATTAATTAATGAGTAATTTTAAATTAAATGTAATTAAAAGTTTGGTTCTTTTTATTTATGTTTATTTGTTATAAGGTTTTCCTGTTTACTGACTATCGACGCCAAGTTACGTCAGTGAATATGTGTGTTAGGACTATTCCTTTAACAAATCGTGTCTATACGACTAACATTCAATCAACTAATTAATTCATTAATTGGATTATTTTGGAAATAATACCCAAGTCATGCATTGCTTAACTTTTTATTGGTTTTAAATAGTATTAATAGTCATATTATCGAGTTTAATAGAAATAATGTCATCTATAATTTAATATAATTGAATGAATAATAATGAAAACTATTGATTAAATAAAGTTAAAACGTTATCGATTTAAAACTTTCTGACAAGTTTCACACATATATTATGATATACGACAATTTGATACAGTTTTTCATATAGTTATTGAAAAAAAGTATAGTTTATTAAATTTCATATTAAATCTATGATCAAAATATCAATTATTATAAGATGTAATAAGAATTTATCAGACACATGTTTTAATAAATATAAAAAAATACGATTTTTATGATAAGTAAATAAGTAGTAATGATTTAATTTGAGAATGTTTAGGTTTATGAATAGATGTACTAATTGTAATTCGATTTGAGGTAGTCACAGCATTAGAACGTCCCATTAATGGAGGTGACAGAAGAAGAAATACACGTGAGACCAATAGGTTCAGGGAGCTCGACAGACCGTCGAACGCGATGAGATACAGGAAGAAGAAGAAGATCGCCAAGTGGAAGGCGATACAGCGTTGCGTGATCTTCTTCATGGCGATCTGCGTCATACCGGTGGTTCTCTTTCTTGTGGTAACCACTGATCAATACATGAGGCCACTCCAGCCGAACAGAGTGGCTTTCGTGAGGCCCGAGGTAAATAGAAACCATTTCCATTCAAGTTTTCTGCAGGAAGAAAAAAAAGTAGGGAAAAAGGGTGAAGGGAAGAGAATGGAATGGAAGGAAAACTCCACATGCGGAGGAGGATAAAGGAAGAGCAGGAAACGTATCGATTTCCTTTCAACGTTTTCCCCCCTTTTGTGCATGGCCCGCTTGATATATTGGATGACATCCAAATAATTGCATTTCCGCTCGTAGCTACAAATCCGCGTCCCAAAATATGGATTAATTATATAAATAGATGTTAATTTTACGTGCGTAGGGCGGAAGACTCGATCCGGCCCGCCGATCCGAGAAGAACATGTCGTTGGTAGAGGAGAGACTCCACCAGAGGAAGATCTTCTTGAAGAATACCTGCGCTCAGCTCGCCCTCAACAAAGTGGGAAACGACACCCTCCACAGACCTAACCCCTGGGAATTCCTCATTAACAAGAAGCACCGCCTTGTCTGGTGCAACGTCTTCAAAGCCGGAAGCACCTCGTGGATGTACAATTTTAATTTATTAGCCGGGTAATAAAGAAACGCAACAAAACATAGGAATTAAGGACGTGGAGATAATTTCAAAATATTTCAGATACAGTCCGCAGTTTTTAAAGAAAACCAAACAAGTGCCTCTAAATCTGGCTCGCCAGAGATACCCGCGTCCATCCTTAGTAGATTTACGAAAAGCTTTTAAAAATTCCCTCTCGTTTCTCATCGTGCGACATCCGTTGGACAGGCTTCTCTCCGGATACAAGGATAAGATACAATACGCCCTGCCTCACACTTACCACCGGAAATTGGGAAACGAAATCATACAGAAGTATCGACCCAAGACCGGAACAGACGTAATACATAACACATACAGAAAGTGCTGACGAACTCATCGAAGTCATCGCTTTTGGTTTCAGGAGAAGTTACGGAAGCAGAGATATCCGAGTTTCCCTGAATTTATAGAGTACGTTCTGGATTCTGCCAAAGAAGATCAACCCATGGATATGCATTGGACCCCGATCACCGAGTTTTGCACACCCTGCCAATTTGATTTCACAGTCATCGCGCACACTGAAACTTTGCAGGTAACAATATGAGCGGATTAACCTTACTTATCCTTTGGAGATTAACATTTATCCGCAGGAGGATCAAGAGTATATAATTCACAAAGCCGGCCTGCAGGATATCATTAAACCGGAGTGGAAGAACGTCGGACGTCAAACCGTCAAACAAATGGAGAACCAATATACGCAGCTCACCAGGGCACAAATCTTGCAGCTGTATCACATATACAGGTAAGAACGCTCATAATTATTATTTCCTTTAAACATTAAGTAAAAAGAATTATTGCAAATATTTTTAAAGAATTAAAATTCTGATACTACCTAAATCTTACTTTATATCTTTTTAATTCTTTCAATATTACAATCTTCTTAATTTCAGAGAACATTACAATAGAAAAACTGTAAAAAATATCATTCCTTCTTTAAGTTGAATATTTATGTAATTTCTTCAGAACTTTCAACTATAAATTTAACGAAATTTTATATTATTATTATAAGTTTCATACAATTATAATCGCATATATGAATTACGATTGAAAATATTTCGTAACAGTTAACAATGAAATTTATAGTTTAATAAATTACTAGATTCTTTTATATTGCTTGTAATATTTATTACACACTGCCACTTCTATTAAATTAAAGTATCAACTAATTATTATTTATATAATATGATCAAAAATCATCAATATTTCCAAGCTAAACGTTAATGCTCATTTTTATAAGTATTACTTTTAAAAAAATTAAAAATTGATTTGATAAAATTGAAATGATTTTTTTAAATTTATTACTAATTACAGCTATGATTTGTATATGTAAAATATCAGCTTAAAATCTTGATGTTTTTTGGTCGCTGTTTCTGAATACATCCATAACTATAACGTTGGAACGTGCCTGGAAAGTACCTCGCAAAGTAAAGCCTTAGGTGTGTTTTTTTATATCTGATACGGAATGCGATCTCGTAGTTCCAAAGAAATAAATGTATTTGCACGTTATCTGTCTGCAGTTATAGCAACGTTAAAGAAACAAGAATACCTTTAAATTCTTCCATTATTCCAGCACCTTATCGTGTGCACTTTGCGGCCGCTTTGCGCGGATTTTCTGTTGCATAAAGTGATCATTTTTATTCATGTTGTCAGCTCACTCCTTATTTATTCTTTATTTTTCTTTCGGTTTTCGTTTTTCTTTCTTTTAAATTTATTTTTATATTTTTGCTGCTGTCGCTCTGTTTTTGCTGTTGTTTTCCAGTATAACAGTGTCCGACGCCTCCTTAATTGCTCGTTGTTGCATTAATAATTGTAAGTTGATAAAAGTGCAGCTGAGTGAACTGGATTTACCGTTGTTCCAGATACGATTTCGAGCTATTCAATTACTCGCTGCAAGGATATTTGGACGTGGCCCAACAGGACAAAGACCCAGCCGATCTTCTCGCTGCGATCACGATGAAAGATAAAGTGAGGCCGATAAGGAAAAGGAGAACCGCAGTGATTAATTGATACAAATCCTCAAGTTTTTCGCCAAAAAAAAAACACTCCATACATACACACACAGAAACACACATCTTTCTTCAGTTTTAAAACAATCGATTCACATCTAAAAAAACGGTTTAAAGTATAGTGAATGGAAACAATAATGAAAAATAAATCAAAAGTATCGGAGCTTCTGAAGAAGTAATTTACACATTCTCTTTAATCGGGTTTTATAATAAAGCGAGACGAATGATTAAGTTCAAAGATTGAAAAAATTATTAAAAACTTGATTTATTTTTAATATATTTTATTCAATTAGAACTTAATTTTATTTTAACGTTTCAGGTATTAGTGTTTATGTACAAAACAAAAAAATATACTTGCGCTTATATAAAAAATAAAATCTCGGAAGAAACAAATCTTCTATTATTCCATTAAAAGTAGTTGAAAACCAAAATTCGATAACATCACGAAACGTAGCTTACAAAACATAAATTAACAGCCTCTAAATTTTAAATGCGTTAGTATAAATTTTAGAAATCAAACAAAGAAAATATAAATCAAATTTTAAATACGTTTTCATTCTTTTGGTAAGACTGAAACAATCGTAAACGGGTAGATATGTAGTTGAGGTTTGGGCTGCAATAATGATATGAGTACACACACACACATATATACATACACACGATGAAAGAACGCCAGTTTATGCCTATAATCATATTGTACATTTATTTACAAATGGATTTAGCGTAATTCCTAGGTTTCTCAAAACAAAATAATAATAATAAAACTTTGTGAGACATTTGTGATATTTAGAGTGAGTACAATTTAATAATTATTTAGATAGATTGAAACGTTAACGAGATGGATTATGTAAGACGAGTTGAACAGTTTGTTATTAATAATTTTAAAAAAATATATTAAAAAGAAGATTGATCTTTATATTGTCATAGTTATTTCCTAACCTTTTATATTTAATATATTCCTATTTGTAGGAATTATTAAATTTTAATACTTGTCCGACTTTTACCCAATTAGGCTCTGTGAGCCGCATACGGCTCTTCGTTGCGGTTCCCATTGATCATTTAAATCCGTGTATTTATTACTATGTGCCATGGTGTGGCTCATTAATACATGAAAATATATTGGAAAATCAGAATGCGGCTCTCATGACATTTTAATAATACTATCAATCCCTTAGTGAAATTACTTAAAACATTGTTTTTCCGTAACTCTAAATGTAATACAGTTAGTGTTCAGTTAACAAAATGATAATGATGATGTTCGCTATCCGATTTATTGTATACTACAGATCACAACTAACGTTAGCTGTTCGTTATCCGAACATATGTTTGTTGTGCGAACATAAAAATCTTTCGCAAATGTGTTAATTGTCCGATTTGTTCGCAAACCGAACTGATTGTTAAACCATCACCTACTCCATTATTCGAGAATATACGCTTTAGATATCTCTTCAAATAAACAAAAGAAATCTAGAGATATATTTTGTATTCAATAACGACTAAAACTTTAGGTATCTGGTGTCAAATTTATAATAGTAATTCAAGGAATATTAGATGAAGCTGTAACATATACTCCTGGTATTTTCATCTCAAAATTGAGGTGGAAATATTGATTATCACTTACGTTTCTATTACACTTTACGAAATACCTGTCAATAAACTCCTATTTATTCGACTTTAAAAGCCTTATTGCCACATGAATATATATTTGTATATATAATATAGAGCAGCGTTTCTCAACCTTTTTGACGCGATATCCAACATATTTGTTTATAATTGTACTGCATTGACGCAAGATGACAACCAAGGCAACCATAACCACAGGTCTAGCCAACAATTTAGGGTGGTAATTTTGCTTCCCTTCCCGTTTATTTTCTTATGAAAAGGAGAGCATAATTCTTAGTAGCCCACGGGCGCTAAATTTCTTAAACCTTGGTGACAGTTGTCACAGATTGAGAATCGCTGATATAGAGAATACTGCAGTACTTCAGGTAAGTGGTTTGAATTATTTTTCATGTTTGCAATAGTTATTTAATTTTTAATTAATTTGTAATGAAATATTTATAAAATTCGTTACAAAGCTAAAGAAACTTACCCTTCAGATAAATTTTTCACATCCAAACCGAAAACGCATTTCCCATTGCAAATACGTTTCCAAGCATTGGAAATGTTCACGTTTCCCTCTTCGCTCTGAACATAATTGCCCGATTTTAGCTTTAAAACCAATTCCTTCAACTTTTCCTTGGTAGCTTCCAAATCGTCTTTGGTGCTCCTCCAGGTATCCAATTTGGTTTTATAGAAACCGGCAATAGGATCGAAATCCAATTCGAGATCGTCGAAATCCATCTCTTTGGTGGTTGATAACAAACAAAGAAAAAAAAAACAATATTTTAATACCTCTAAAAGCACCCATCAATATCTACTTTCAACATAAAGACAACAATCAATTAATTATTTTTGCCCCGACAAAAGTGCGTCGTACATTTTTTTTGTAAAGAGGAAGAGCTTGTTTAGATCATTGTTATACGCGTTTCCAATTATTATAATTTTCCTAACATGCACGATAAAAGCGATTAATTGCTTGATTGAAGGTAGAACAAATTTTTCCAACTATTTGGATATTGGGTACATATTCTACTTCATGGAAACCGTGTCAGGAATCTTAATCAAAATTCCCAATTACGGGATTAAAAGAAACAGTTTCAGAAAAGCTGTCTTAAAACTAGCTAAGATAAATGCAGTTCTTCATCTAAAAAGTGGAAGATCCAGCTTGAAAATTCATTGCAGTATTGCTCGTTGCATTTACGTTCATTTATGTTACGCTCACATTCAAAGGGTTTCAATCACAAATTATGAGGAAGCTCGTGCAATTTATTTACCTGGTTATTGAATTCCAGGAGACCGATTTGATGTACACTATGTTAAGCAGGTTGAACAATCAGTACAGAGAAATCAATAGGAGGTTGAACTGCGTGATTCGCTACTGCAATGTGTGAGATGGACTAGCCATGCACGAGATGGTTCATCTACAGATTGGGTAGCATACACAGGAAAGTCAGCAGAACAGGTCAAATCACCAACAACGTTTTCGGTATTCCCATGTTCATGATGTTCGGAATTAGATTTACATTGCTAATTTTCGATGGACACATTCTCAGTCACATAATATTCAACACATTCTATTTAGTGAGTTTTCTTATAATCCTATTAGTTTACACCCATTCAAGTTTCCTACTAGTGGGTTAAAACCAGTAATGAAGTAAGTGCTTAAATTACTAAATTAATTTTGTTTAATCTATATAAATTTAAGGCGAGATCAACTGTAACTTTAGTACATCAAATTTGGAACAGTATAGAATCGCCGGAAACCACGATTTTGCAACTTTTCAACGGTCGACCAAAGTTCACCGGTTCAGAATTCTTTAAAATCGATTGGCCTATAATAATACTTGTAATATATTTTTCTTAATAATTTCCAATATTATAATTCTTTATTTTGTTTAGATTACAGGAGCAGTGACAACCTACATTGCAATTATTATACAATTCGAGATTGCCGCTGCAGTTTCAAATAATTCTACTTTAGCCCATTTCCATCATCATCATTCTTATTAATGAAATAATAATAAGTAAACGTACATTAATTCCTAAATTGTGAAATTGAGAAAATCGATAATGTAATACATTTAACTTAATATGATGAAAGCTAGAAATTATAATAAAACCTTAATACTACTAATGATAATTATCAATAACATACACAGTAATACGTTTGCATCGAAACCAGAAACACCGTTTTAACCTAAATGCGATGGGCGACAACTACATAACTCAAATAAAATGGTTTTTGTACGTGGGGAAATTATTTGGTTTGGTCCAATTCTCTATCAATGCCGAAGAAAACATATTTCTAGCCATCCTGCCGTGGACTCCGTTTTGCGCTGGATACATCTATTTAATATATCTAACATTTAATAATCTCTTCACCCGCATGTCGATAACGAACTACACGAAAATAGGTCACATGATGCTATTCTCTGCCAACATAATGAGTACATTCAGTCGGTTCCCGTACTATTTTTGGAACAGAAATAAGTTTAAGAAAGTCGTTGTAAAAATGCAACAAATACAAAGAGTTTTGGGAATGGAAGAAGAGTCTTATACCATCAAAAACCTTGTGATATGCTCGGTTTTCTTGTGTTACGCTGCTCTTTACATTTATATCGATTTAATCTTGAACGATTATAAGAGTATCACTAGGAAATTAGCGCAGTATATAAATCTGATCATGGAATTGTATGAGTGTCTTTTGATCTATAAGGTCATTAGCGAAATGTATAAACAGTACCATTTCATCAACAATAAAATGGGATCCGATATTGGATTCTTGGCAATCGGGAAGCTGTTGCCTATAAGCAAGATGAAGGCAAAGAACAAGAACATCAAGAAGATAAAGTTACAGGAGAGAGATAACTTTTTGAATCGCCTCACGGTATATTCAGATGTTCACATGAAAATCAGCAAAATGGGTAGGATGGCCAACGACGTCTTCGGTATACCAATACTATACACGCTAGGAATTAGGTTTATGCTTATCATTATGTACGGCCATCTGTTGAGTTATCCGATAGCAGTCGGTATTAAGATTATTCTGATTATAATATTGATCATTCTTTGCTACGTACATATAATATATTTGATCTACTGGTGGGTCAGAACGGCGGATGAAGTAATTACCATTCAATGAAGATAATCAAATTATTAAAATTAATTCTTTCAGGGCAAATTAACTTTATCTTATATTCACAAGATATGGAATTCTCTTGCTTCTAACGACGAGGTCGACGTGAGAGTGAATCATCTCCAGTTGATCACAGTTCAGTTATCTAACAGCAGACCGGAGTTTACGGCTTTCGATTTGTTCCAAATCGATTGGCCAGCAGTTCTTATGGTTAATTAAAAAAAAACTAAAGGAATTGTATTTATTTCATTTATTTTGTGTGACTTTGCAGCTAACTGGAGCTGCATCCACGTACGTCGTGATTTTGATACAGTTCGAAATGGCAGCTGCTGCAAAAGGTTTAAATATAACTTTAGCACCTGACGAAAGCATCTTGTAAAATGAATCCACTATTCTAATATCAGTGTCACCAACTGACACAATAGTCAAAACAAACGCACATTGTACATAATTGCATCGTAAATGGTGAAGAATTTAGCTGCGTTGATTTTCAACTGCGCCTGCATCAGTTGCAAAGAGAATGATTCCACCTAAAAAAGCTGGTACATCTAGGTTAACCAAATGATTTAATATATTTGCGAGCTCCTGGAATTGAGGCTATCTCTTTCCAACTCTAAGTCCATTTTAATCATCATCATTCTCATTAATGGAATAATATTAGTAAAGTAAACGTACATTAATTCGTAAATTGAGATCAGTACTAATTTAATAATACGTAAAATCGATAATGTAATACATATAACTTAATACGATGAAAGCGAGCAATTATAATAAAACCTTAATACTGCTAATGTAACTGATAATTATCAATAACGTAAACAGTAATACGTTTGCATCAAAGACAGAAGCACCGTTTTGTACCTACATACGATGGGCGACAACTACCTAACTCAAATAAAATGGTTTTTGAACGTCGGGAAATTATTTGGTTTAGTCCAATTCTCTATCGATGCCAAAGAAAACATATTTCTAACCATTCTGCCGTGGACTCCGTTTTGCGCAGGATACATTTATTTAACATATCTTACAGTTAATAATCTTTTTTACCACAACTCGTTGATCAACTACACGAAAATTGGTCACATCATGCTGTTCGTCTCCAACATAATGAGCACATTCAATCGGTTCCCGTACTACTTTTTGAAGAGAAACAGATTTAAGAAAGTCGTTGTGAAGATGCAACAAATACAAAGAGTATTGGGAATGGAAGAAGAGCCTTACGCCATCAAAAACCTTTTAGTATGCACGGTTTTCTTGTGTTACGCTGCTCTTTATGTTTACGTCGATTTAGTTCTGAGCGATTATAAAAACATCTCCAGAAAGTTAGCACTGTATATAAACCTGATCATGGAATTGTACGAGTGTCTTTTGATCTATAAGCTCATCAGTGAAATGTATAAACAGTACCATTTCATCAACAAGAAAATGGGATCTGATATTGGATTCTTGGCAATTGGGAAGCTGTTGCCTATAAGCAAGATGAAGGCAAAGAACAAGAACATCGAAAAGATAAAATTGCATGAAAGAGATAACTTTTTAAATCGCCTCACGGTTTATGCAGATGTTCACATGAAAATCAGCAAAATGGGAAGGATGGCCAACGACGTCTTCGGTATACCAATACTATCCACGCTAGGTATTAGGTTTACGCTTATCATTATGTACGGCCACCTGTTGAGTTATCCGGTAACAGGCGGCATGATGATTATTGAGATCATATTATTGATCATTCTTTGCTACGTACATATCATATATTTGATCTACTGGTGGGTCAAAACGTCGGATGAAGTAATATAACCATTCAATGAAAATAATCAAATTATTAAAATTAATTCTTTCAGGCCAAATTAACTTTATCTTATATCCACAAGATTTGGAATTCACTGGCTTCTAATGACGAGGTGGACGTAAAAGTGAATCATCTTCAGTTGATCACAGTTCAGTTAGCTAACAGCAGACCGGAGTTTACGGCTTTCGATTTGTTCCAAATCAATTGGCCGGCAGTTCTTATGGTTAATTATAAATAATAAATTAAAAGAATTGTATATATTTTAATTATTTTGTACGATTTTTTTTTAGATAACTGGAGCAGCATCCACGTACGTCGTAATTTTGATACAGTTCGAAATGGCAGCTGCTGCTAAAGGTATGAATACAACTTTAGCAGCTGACGACAGCATTTTGTAAAATCAATCATTGTCCACTGTTACAATGTCAGTGTCAAATTGCATAAAAATAATGATATAATCCAAACACTTGCAACTGAAACAAAATACCCATAGTTGTAGTCAACACAAACGTACATTGTATATGTTTCCAAGGTGATTGAACTAATAAACTGTTACAGCTACGTTAAACAAATGATTTAACGCATTTACAAGCTCCTGTAATTGAGGGTAGGTTTTTCGAACTCTAAGCCCATTTTTCATCATAAGTGTCATTAATGAAATAATATTAGTAAAGTAAAATAAACGTATATTAATTTCTAAATTGTGATCAGCACTAATTTAATAATACGTAAAATCGATAATGTAATACTTTTAACCTAATATGATGAAAGCGAGCAATTATAATAAAACTTCTATACTATTAATGTAACTGATAATTATACACAAAGTAAACAGTAATACGTTTGCATCTAAGCCAGAAACACCGTTTTGTATCTACATACCATGGGCGAAAACTACATAACTCAAATAAAATGTTTTTTGTACGTGGGGAAATTATTTGGTTTAGTCCAATTCTCTATCGATGCCAAAGAAAACATATTTCTAACCATTCTGTCGTGGACTCCGTTTTGCGCAGGATACATTTATTTAACATATCTTACAGTTGACAGTCTTTTCTACGGCAACTCGTTGACCAACTACACGAAAGTTGGTCACATCATTCTATTCTTCTCCAACATATTGAGTACATTCAGTCGGTTCCTGTACTATTATTTGAAGAGAAACAGTTTTAAGAAAGTCGTAGTGAAAATTCAACAAATACATAGTGTATTGGGTATAGGGGAAGAGCCTTACGCCATTAAAAACTTTGTGGTATGCACAGTTTTCCTGTGTTACGCTGCTCTTTACGTTTACGTCGATTTAGTCCTGAGCAATTATAATAGCACCTCCAGAAAGTTAGCGCTTTACATAAACCTGATTATGGAATTGTACGAGTGTCTTTTGATCTATAAGCTCATGAGCGAAATATATAAACAGTACCATTTCATCAACAAAAAAATGGGATCTGATATTGGGTTCTTGGCAATCGGGAAGCTGTTGCCTATAAGCAAAGTGAAGGGAAAGAACAAGAACATCGAGAAAATAAAGCTGCTGGAGAAAGACAACTTTTTGAATCGCCTCACGGTATATGCAAATGTTCACGTGAAAATCAGCAAAATGGGAAGGATGGCCAACGACGTCTTCGGTATACCAATACTATCCACCCTAGGTATTAGGTTTACGCTTATCATTATATACTGTTATATTATGAGTTATCCGATATCAATCGGCATTAATATTATTCTGATTATAATATTAATCATTCTTTGCTACGTGCATACCATATTTTTGATCTACTGGTGGGTCAAAACGGCGGATGAAGTAATAACCATTGAAAGAAGATAATAAAATTATTAATATTAATTATTTCAGGCTAAATTAACTTTATCTTATATTCACAAGATATGGAATTCACTAGCTTCTAATGATGAGGTCGACGTGAAAGTGAATCATCTCCAGTTGATCACAGTTCAGTTAGCTAACAGCAGACCGGAGTTTACGGCTTTCAATTTGTTCCAAATCGATTGGCCAGCAGTTCTTATGGTTAATTAAAAAATAAGTTAAAAGAATTGTATTTATTTCATTTATTTTGTATATTTTTTTAGATAACTGGAGCTGCATCCACGTACGTCGTTATTTTGATACAGTTCGAAATGGCAGCTGCTGCTAAAGGTATAAGTACAACTCTAGCACCTGACGAAAGCATCTTGTAAAATCAATCGTTGTCCACTGTTGCAATGTCAGTGTCAAGTTGCATAAAAATAATGATATAAGTAATCCAAGCACTCGCCAACTAAAACAATAGTCATAACAAAATACCTATAGTTATAGTCAAAACAAACGTACATTGTACATGATTCCAACGTGAATGGTGAAAAATTTAGCTGCGTTGATTTTTAGCTGCGCCTGCATCAGTTGCAAAGAAAATGATTCCACCTAAAAGAAACTGTTGCAGCTATGTTAACCAAATGATTTAACGCATTTACGTGCTCCTGTAATTGAGGGTAGGTGTTCCGAAGTTGGTGTAGATAGATTTTGGTCTCATTAGAAGTATCCATTAGTTTCGAAGATGAGGTAATGACAATCATCAAAACGAAAACGCCGATTAAACTCCAATACTCCGGGGCGTAGATGGTCCTCGGAGGTAATTCGACACCTTTCACGTTTAAAGCCAGATCATTGCAGATATCGTAAATGAACGAGAGCATCGAGAATGTGACAATAGCCATGTACATGGTCAGATCGTAACCGCAGACGTTGTTCAATGATCTAACTATAATAGTGATCTCGTTGTGCATGTTAAGGATCTTCTGATAAACCGTGCAGCTTTCATCCGGGAACTCGTCCAGCAAAATCGGAGGTTTCTCGTCTTTCTTATTCAAAATGTACTTCTCGTAAGGTGTAAGATCATTTCGCACCAAGCCTTTCAGGAAACCATTGATGGCGCAATATTTGCTCTCGGAAATCAGAAATATTGCAGATATACCCACTAAATGCATGGTAACAGACAAACAAGGAAAATAATGGATGAAAAAGTATGTTGCAGTGTATTGATCTCCAAATGTATAAACGTCAAATGCGACCATCGGAATGACCGAGCAGAAAACCACTAGATAACATGATATAATACCACCGGCTTTGAAATTGGTCTTAACATTGATTTTAGCAAGAATACTATCCTGACTTTGTAGTTTATTCAAGGAATTTACGTAGCGACTACGAAAGATGCTCATGAGTACGGTGATTTGTACAATCATCAATGGGCAGAAATAGAAGAATATGCAATAACGCATCTGCGAAATGAAATTATACCTGTAAGATACGAAAAGGTAAACAGATGTTGTTAGGTTGATAATCTTCACCTCAGTTCTCCAGTCCAATTGTCGTTGGTTGCCAAAGCATGCACGAAACAGATGAAACAAACCACAAGAACGCAAATGTTGACTATTATTTGTTTTTTTCCTGCAGGCTTAAGATCGCTCGTAATTATGATTTGACCAAAAAATCTTTGAATCAAAAGGGGATTTAAGGTTTTAAAAACCATGATTTAGTCTGATACCCTCTCTGGCTTTACTTCTAATGTATTGACGATTAATCCAATTTTGTTGAACACACATTGCCATTTACTATTAATAACTAATATGGGATTATAACTAATATATGATGATAAAGTTTAGATCAGGTACACGTTTATTCATAATGCTTCATGCCATTAACATTATTTATGAAAATATTGTATTTTGCTCGTATATTCCAATTTATAATTCCAAATTTAGATAGAATGCTGCTACGGTGAATTAACTTCTTCGATAGGTCAGATAGCCTTGAAAACATGAATTATATTGCTGGTAACCAACATTGATTATTTTAATGACATCGTTACATTATTCATCGAAACAGAAGCATAAGGGATTTCTATTGAATTAATAATTTGAGCAGATGCATATCCAAGTTAAATATGAGACCAAGATATGTATTACATTTGTAATTCCAGTTTTTTATAATATATGTTTACACTGTATATGCTTATTAAACCGCGAGGTATTGCTTTCATCGGTTACAGATTGAATTTTGCATTACAATGCGATAAAATAATATGTATCACATGTGTTTTCTTTTATATAATAATATAAAACAGAATAATATAAATATATCCACTAGTTTCTAATGACAAATGATTTTGTTCAAGCAATACGATTCAATACTTGAAGGATCATAAAAAAACAACTTTACTTTATTTAAAAAAAGAATAGATTAATTCCAAGTCAGATATGCAATACATTATATTGAAATTGTTAACATTTTTTTTTTTCGTTTTAAATATCACAAATAGTTTAATTGATAAACATAAAACTTAGTATGTATTTCTAAATACTAACTTTATTGTGTTAAAATTAAGTTAATGTCTATAATTATCAATTGAAACTAAATATTTAAAAACTTTATAAAAATAGTAAATGTTTTCAGTTGGTTTATAAATTGTTACTGAATTTATAGACTTTCTTCAAAATGTTATGGTATAAAATCTTAATGTGTTCCATATTTCAAATGTAATATAGTTAAACCTGGGTTAAAGTTACATTTTATAACAAAGCTTCGATAATCGAAATTCAAACCCCATTTAACATAAAAAAAAATATTCCAAATTGGAATGTATTCGAAAAACTATTGGCGAAAGTTCAAGAAGAAGAAATGGCGATGAACTTTATTGAATTCAGAAGATGATAGTTTTTAGAAAACCTCGTTAACAGCAAAGACAAACAACATGAAGACGAAATTAAAGAAGTTCTAGACGAAAAAATGTTAACAAGCAAAGACTTATAAAATGAAAATTATCTTGATTTAGGGAGAAGTTTTATTATTAAGCATTAATAAAGAATTAATGTATTTTTAAATTACTTTTTCATTTATACTAAATTTTAACTTTTGTGTCATTATTTCAGGTTTAATTCAATACTTTCAATAAACAACTTAACTTATTACTATAATATTTTATTATAATTCTTATTGAATTAGCCAAACTCAAGAATTCTATGATACTTTACGATATGCAACCAGTTTTGTAATGTCTCAAACTAGTCTTCATATTAGTATATATAAATAATGTAATGGGTACTCATTTTGTATGTATATATACTATATAGTATACTAATATATTTAAATTATTATTGAAGTTGAAAATATGATTTTGACATATCTATAGTTTTATCTCTTTTTACCGCGCATTTCTCAGCAAACTAACCTATATTAAACATAATCTAAAATGTGCTATATCACCATTAATTCTGAAGTAAAACGTAATCTATTGACGTATTAACTGTATAACTATAATAAATTATAATTAAAATATCTTACCTTTAACGTTTTCTTTTCGAACTAATAATAACAAACATTTATATAATGAACAGCTGATGGATCAGCATGGTATAGGCAACTGCAGTTCCTCTAAGCAAAGACCGGAACGGATATTGGGGTGGTTTTTATTCGTTTAATGATTACATGCATATTTTCATTTGTAACCCCTCTTTAAGCTGCCCCAACGTACATTCGAAATACTTCCGGTCGCACGCATTCACCGCTGGGGTAGTTTCGTTGGATCATAAGGGGCATACAGACCGGAAACAATACTTCTTTGTCATTTAATCGAATGGAAATGCTTTAAAATGAAATTAATTAAAAATTCTTTGTTGCTGGAAGCTCCGAACCAAGTTAATGGTTTTATTTTTTTGGTCACAAGGGATGGATATAATTCTTAAGTGGTTGACTTGCACTTAACTGAAAATGGCTTTGTTATACATTAACGTTGTGATAAAAAAATAAAATACAAGATCTTTATAGCAGACCTTTCTTAGAGAACAAAATATGTACAATACGTATAGAATAATACCTTTACATTTATATTCGTACATTTTTTAATATGAATATTAATACAAAGCAGACATTCATCATAACAAAATTACATTATGGTTGATAACACATGTATAAGGCAAAATATAATAGGTATAAAACAGTTACAATAATTCTTCGGAAAATTGTTGAACAAAGCGAAATAGTGAATGAAAATAAGGATCAACCATGCAATTTTTGTTGAATTAATTATTTAACAAATTAGTTAAATATATTTATTTTAGGCTGTGATCATTAGTCTTAATGAATTAGATACATTTATCCAATTAGTTAATAAATAAATACATCCACAAATAATATAATAAACTCTAAGATAGGAACAATATTTACATCATACAGTAAAATACGGGTTATCCGGGTCTCAATTTACCGTAGTTCGGGTTAACCGTGGACGCGGCTGATTTGGTGTTTAATTATTTTATAAGCGTACACAGGGACGAAATTCTGCTATATTAACATAAACTTCGTCATGAGGACCAATCTTTTGACTAATTCTGATAAATTAAAGGCGCCACAATCCGAAAAAGTTTGGGAACCTCTGAGTTAAACAAAAAAATCTGCTGTTAGTAAATAATTTTGCAAGTAAAACAATAAAAATTACAGATTAATAATTATGCTTTAACGAATTAACGCGAATAATCGGCTTTTTACTGTATATACAATATGGTTCAATCAAATATGAGAATACAACGCAAACTATATGTCTGCATTTATTGGTGCATGAATTCTATTTGAGTATTATTAAAAGATCAAAATCACCCAGCTGAGAGGGGTGTTCCATGACCGGAAGTTATAGCCACAAGACTTATAGGAATTTGCCGATTGACCTAGTTTCTTTTAGAGTGTATAGTCCATACAATTTTATATGTGCTTAATAAGTAGTAACAGCTTCGATATTTGATCTAAACACAAACAGCTAATAAAGTAATCGTTTTCACCAATTTCCCGTATTGTTTGAAACCGGACTAATCGAGAATCAAAATAAATTGCACAAAAAAATAAATAAATAAATACACAATAATGTGTGTACTAATTTGTTATTATATATTTTTATTTTGCTCAATTAAAATTTAGTTTGTTTTGAAATGTTCAAATCGGACTATGACTCCGAACTTACCAAAACCGTACTATATGAGGTATGCTGTATTTGTATATGTTAAAATACCAGTGATAGAAGACTTCCAACTTCTAAGCTAATATTTTATGAACAAATGTATTATCTATTAACTTTGTAACTTTGATGAATTTATTTCTTTGGTTTAGAATTTGTGAATATACTTTTTAATACGTCTTTAATCTAATTATTGTAAAATTATTGAAGACTAATGTTGTTGCTTTTACATTCTTACTAATCTATATTAATTTTTATTAAAATTGGATGTGTTTCCATGAGATCAACCTTGGTTGGGTTTGTTTACTGTATGTCTGACTCAAAAATACTTGTTTTTGTTTGTTTTGAAAGTGTATCAATTAGGAGTATTCATAGTATCATATTAATGTTATTGCTGTCGTTTTATACATACGCATGAATATACACTAATAAAAGTTGTAGAAAAATGAATATGTATAAATTAGGGATTATTGAAAATAGAAATTGTAAAAAACAGTTTTATTGTATCATAAAGTAACAGCCATTTTTCATATTATATACTAATGAGATTATTAATATTTATAAGTATGTTAGTTAGTTATGATTCATACAAGACAATAGAAAATTTTCTGACAAAAAACTGAAAAGAAAGAAATAAAATGAATAAAAAACAGAATTTTGATTAATGCAGCAGCAATAATAACGCAAAAGATGCATCTTTTGGAGAAATAAAATCTAAAAAAACGTACTGTTCGTATTTTGATAATAACATTTTTTTTCTTTACATATACCTAATATTAAACAGGATAGCTTATTTATAAAAAAAAATATATATATTTTTCATTGAACAAATTTTAGGCCAAATACTATTGCTAGATTTTAATTGTGTTAATAAGGGATGCTTTAGTAAATATGTTAAGTGGAAGCATTGTTATATTTAAAAAAAAAACAATATGAATAAGATGCTAATAATAAAAAAGCTGAAGAGTAAATATGTATGTGAACCACCCCCCTTGGAATTTGTAAATAACTGTGTGAAATCTGGAATGTTTTGGCCAAAATTTGAGCATTATTAAAAAAAAACAGAAACTTAAATCTCTAAATAATAAAAAAAAAATAAGAGTTTTTTTTTAGTTTGTTTCGATGATGCTGCTCATCAAATCATACTTTTGTTCATGTGGGTTTATAAACATATTTACAAAGAAACAAGATTCCGTGGATCTCCTTATTGAGGTGGTGTGGTGATGGGTCGCTTGAACAGGAGGATATGAGGTTCAGGTGTATGAGTCATATAATGTATCCAACCCTTGCTCTGCTGCACCCCGATACTCCTCCATTCCTGCTCTGACATTAGATGAGTCTTCGGAACCAATTTGACCAGTTCCCTTGGTAACACAACATGTCTGCAATGAAAAAAATCACAAATGCCATAAACAAAAACACGCAGATTCGGTCAAATTCAAACAAAAAAATATTATATTTTAAAGTGTTAGAGTGACGGTTTGTATGTAAATAGTACGATACAAAGGAAATTCCTTTATGCTTTTTTCGAGTCCATCGCGAAGGCCATGCCGTACTTTACAAAGACGAGGGTTGTAAAGACCATTTTGTTTTGATGTTCTTACCTGTATTCGTACTCATCGTCGTAATATTTATCCGAGTAGTAGATATTCTTATGCATTTCTTCGATTAGTTTTTCCCGGTTCATGGATACAAAAGGTTTTAGCTGCGAGGAAAACTCGGAAAACTACAGGAACTTTTCACCGGCTCTTTATTTTTCAGTTTTCTACAAGAAAACACTTGTTGAACGCTGTTCGTACGAGTTCACCAACTGTTTTTGTAAACCGAAAACGCATGCCCGTCAAGCTACAATTCCAATATGACCAACTATTACAAAATTAACGTAAACATACATAATTTTCATCAGTTAAGCTCAAAACTAACTCGAAATTGTTATTGATAATAGTTTATTGTAAGTTTAAATAGGTACGGTAATTTTAAACAAACATAAATAAATATTTCACCTAATTATACAAGATTTCCCTTTAAAGTAACTTGGGTTGCATAATCTATAAACAAATGCTCGTTACTTTTTGAAAATTTAAAAATACGCTCATTGTTTCATCTATCCAAATATATTACCTCTTTAAAAAACAAACACGCAAGAGTAGTGTCAAGCGGTGTGTATAGTACTCTAGATTTATTTTAGTGTTAGTTATTTAGTTTAGTTTTAGTAATGTAATTTAGTTTAAGTTATTATTTGGAAATTTGTGGTATAGTTTTTTTTTAAAGTAAGTTTTTTTTGTACTTTTTTTGGGGGGTCAGTAAGACACCCCCAATAATCTGGGTGACTCCGAGGGAGATCAGGTGATGGTAGTGGATACAGAAGTGAAGTCCCCGGAATCTCTTGCAGATATAATTGCTTTGCTAACGAGTTATAAAAACGAAAGACTTAAGTCTTCGAAGGCAAAAACAGTAAAGTGACTATTTCGAAGGAGCTTTTTTCCCTCAATGATATAGCCCCATTCGTAGTCCCATTGGAACCCGCTATAGCCAGTGTATCCCTGCGCCCACTACAAGTGGGTAGAACATTAGACAGATACAAAATTAGGCAAGTAACAAAGGTAGAAGGCAGAGATAAGAATATGGTCGCAGTGACCTTTATGAATGCAATAAGTGACCCGTGACCTTTGTAGAAAGAATAAGAGCTTGTATACCATCTCACTTAGTATCGTCTAAAGGAATAATCAGAAACATAGACAGAGAAATTACTGAAGATGAAATTATGGACAATATTGAAACGGAAGATAAACGACAGGTGATGAAGGGGAAAGATTGAAGAGATCGAATGACGAATCTGGCAACCCAACATACATCCCCACTAACACCATCCTAATAACGTTCCGCGGTAAAATCTTACCAAAATCAATTTACTTATTCCACAATCATAGGACTCCGCAACTGCATATACCCCGGACTATCCAATGTCACGGGTGTATGTGGTATGGCCACCCTAAAAAAAATGTAAGAATAGAGATCCACGACATCTAAGAGTGCACCATCAAAGATTCTCGTACATGCTTCCTCTGTGGTGGAAATCATAATCATTACACCACAGAATTCAACAAAACATTGTCTGAACGAGTTTGCTCGGAGTACCTATATGAAAACAGGTCAGAGAACAAGGGAATAGGATTTCGGATTATCCTATTCCCTTGTTCTCTGGGAATGTTACCATGGTCTCACGAATTCAAGTTCATTAAGATCTGCAGCTCATCTTTTTTGGATGAATTTGGTGGATTCACCGCACTGTGACTGTGGGATGATATCCACTGCAAATCACATTTTCAACGTGCTCAGAAAATTCACCTTCCGATCTCCTGTTAAGTCCTGTTAAGGATGAAGGACAGTAATATATATAGACTAATTTTAAATTTTATTAAAAACTCTGGCTGTGTTGTTTAAATATTTATAATGTGTTTATTCATTGTTTCATATTGTTTTTATTTATGCTTTGTTAAATTTGATGATACATTTTTTATTTACCTTCCTAGACTGTGATAAGAGCTGAAAAGTATCTGCTCCTGAAAAGTTTATATAAATGTTGATTTTATTTATTTTTATTTTGTTTTTGTCATACATTTCTTATTTACATATAAATTATTATGTTTACATCGTATAATTTTCTATAGACGTTTCCAATGGTCCATTCACTTTTTTATTATTGTGTTTTTAATTTGCTTGTTTATATGCTTTGTTCGTTTGTTTGTACTATGTATTTATATCGGTGGCACTTGCAAGCCCGACAAACGAAATCCCGACATTCGAAATCCCGGCTGGCTCAAAATCCCGATGTTCGAAATCCCGACTATCATAATCCCGTCTATATCGAAATCCCGACAGTGTCTTTTATTATTATAAATTTCTACAATAACATTTGTATGGTAGTCGGGATTTCGATATAGTCGGGATTTTGATTGTCGGAATTTTAATACAACCGGGATTTCGAAAGTCGGGATTTCGATACAGTCGAAATTTCGAACGTCGGGATTTCAATAGACGGTCTTTCGGTTGTCGGGCTTGCGATATAAACCACTTTTGATATCAAATTATATCTTACTCTTTTATTCATTAGGACCTACAAAAGTGAACATAATGGGGTTTGTCCCTAGGTTCTACGACAACCTTAAAGCGGTCCTGTATCAAATGGCGACGTTTCACAAACATATTTTTGTGAGTTAATGATCAAATAACATTATTAATACTAATGTTTAAGAAAGAAACATATTTTTTTAATACTCATCAATACATATATATTTAATCATTTCATATAACATACGTTTTAAAATTTTATATATATATATATACTGTATATTAAAAAGAAAACTATACAAATAAACATTTATTATAAATTTATATTATACAATCAATAATCTTTTATTATGTCTTTTATAAATTCCCATTCATGTTTTCATATAGACCGAATTGCAGACAAAAATAATAATATAATAATGAACAAACTTAACAATTTATTCGGAAACGAAAAAAAAAATAGTGTATATATAATATGTAAGCCATGAGACAACGCAATACACAAACGAAAAGAAAAATATCTTACACATATGTTATCCTCACGTAGGCCAATAAGAATCCTCATAATAACAATACTACTACATCATACATCCATATATAATTATCCCAAAAACACTTCCTAAAATTAATAATTTCTTTCATGTACTTTCCTTTCATCATCCATAAATAGTTTCATTTCATTTCACGTTTTCTTTCATATATATAATATTTTTCCATTTATTGCGAGTGATTGATAAAAGAGTATGCAAAATATATATTTATTTTTCTTTCTTACTGATCTGTACTTAATATAATAATTCCTTAACTGTTTTCATTTATTATTCATTATAAAATGCCAGCCTTCAATTTATATTTCAATATATAGGTAAATTTCTGTTATTCTTCAAATAGTGTATAAGTGTTCTTTTAAATGCTTCAAAGAGGAATCAAAATCACCGAAAAACGGATAAAACGATATGTGGTCGAACATAAATAAAGATTCACGCGGAGTGAAAGTAAATGTAGAAGAAAAACTTAATTCGTAACATGTATATAGATATATAAAAAATGTATTTCCAATGTAAAAGGGTCGATGGAAAAAGGGCTTCTTTTGCTTATTCTTATTCGTATTATACTTAATTAAATATATATATGCTTAAATCCTAAACAAATTAGCCATGCACTTATATTTAATGAGTAACGATGGTCCCATTTATAATTGAATCTATTACTGGATTGGACTCAGAGAAGCTCTGTCTGGAGCTGGTTCGGCTCCGGCAGAAACCCTTTTGCACGAATGTTGTCCACTCGTTGGAATTCTCGTCCAAATATTCAATAGTATTCAAGAAAGTTTTGCCTGAAATGTGTACCAAAAATTAATCATTGGATTGAACATTAAATTTACGGATTTACCTGAGAAACCACCAACTGCGTAAAGCCTGTTGCCGACGACGGCGACTTCTACATTAGCCCTGGGCGTCGTCATGCTAGGTCCAACCACCCAGGTTTGCTGCTTGGCATCATAGATTTCTGTGGAGCTCAAAGAGTGCGATCCATCGGATCCTCCAACAACGTATAGCCTGTTGTTGAAAACAGCAACACCGCAACCTCTGCGAGCTGTGATGATCGACTTAATCATAACCCAAACATCGTCCTCCGGGTTATACACTTCCACGGAGCTCAGGCAATTCCACGAATCACAACCGCCGATTGCGTAAACCTGATTCCCGTACGCAGTTAAACCAGCTTGGTATCTGCCAATGTTCAGTGGAGCAATCGAAGTCCACTTTTGTGTCTTCGGATCGAAAACGTCGCACTGCTTGATGCCAACTTGACCGTTCCATCCTCCAACGCAGTAGATTATTCCATTCAAATCGCAAACTCCTGGATTGCTGCGTGCTAAAGGCAACCTAGGTTGACTCGTCCATTTTCCTAGATTCATGTCGAGCATCTCAACAGTCTCCAACTCTGTGGTACCGTTGCTTCCTCCAATAGCGTATACTTTATCATCGAGAACGGCGATTTGGAATCGACCCCTGCTCTCCTTCAGCTGAGGAAGAGCGGTCCACGTGTTAGAATCTGGGTTATAAAGCTCTGCGGTTTTCAGACACTCTATCCTATCGTATCCACCTGAATATTAAATTACAGAAATAATTAACATTCTTTAATCAATTAATTAGATTTTGTACCGCAAACGATGAGGTTGTTGTTTAGGTTACCACAACCAACGGCGCATCGGGGATTCGACATGTTGGCAAGGGCGCAATACAAGTCGGGTTTCTCTTCACTCGATGGTCGGCTGACGTCGGGTGTGGCAATTGGGGAAGGTGTTGTAGGCATGTTCAATCTGAAATGCAAATTCGTTTTATAGAAACAATTAGATGAACGTGTATGGAATAGATTACCTTAATTGCACCGATAGAGTGCATAATTTTCCGGCTAGTGTCACTAACGCCAAGAAACAGTGCTCTCCGACACGAGAGGAAGCGATCAGATTCCAATCGGGTTCCGCTTCCGCTTCCAAATCCTCACCGATTTCGCGCGAGTATATCAACACGCGGGGTTTGCTTGGCTGCACGAGAGACTTCCGTTTGGCTTTCGAGTTTCCTGTCACGTTCTTCAAAGACATTTTCTTGTAATCCTGCACAATATCCGTGTCGCAAATATCGCCTATAACATAAAGTAATATTTAGTATTGAGTTAATGAAATATGTACAATCAATTGATTACCTGTTGGTAAGCTTGTACAATCTTGTAACGAATTATCGATGGCTAGGTATAGCATGTGAGTCCTCTCATTCAGGCTGAAATGAGTCAGAGAATTCTCGTTCAGCTGCTTGCGAATCCAATCAAGTACCAATCGGCATAGAGAGCTATGGTTGACATGACTCATCTCTTGTCTGGACTGATTCAGAATCTCAATCCTGGCGCAAGATAAATTCAATAGGGATGGACTCCCGGTGATGCCGTCGAACTACGAATATTATCGATTATTAACGAACGAGTTCGCGTTTAATATAAAAGTTCGTTTACTTCATTTGCAATAAATGAATCGACTTTTTGAGTGAGTTCCTTGTTGCGAGCAATACCTGGCAGAGACCTGGTTTCAATGCAGTTATCCACGGACAGATGTTTGATCAAGTGCTGTGCACAACATCTAGCAACACGCTCGATTTTCAAATGGCAAGCGGCCAAATATACAGCCTTTACCTACGACAAGTAATAAACCGTTAGAAATAATTGTTAATTCAGATGGAGGTAATTACTTGATCGAAAGGTACTTCCAATGAAGCAGTGTAGGCGTACTCAATCAATATCTGAAGAGCCCTTTTGTCAAATCCTCCGTTCAACTTGTAGGAAACCACATTTTCCGTGCTCTTCTGTTCCACCTCGTTGGAGAACAGCTCGAATAGGTATGGTGAGACGCTGGCCAGGATAGCGCGATGGGCGTGAATCTCGACGTTCCCAACCTACATTTATTTAACAACAAAAAAGGACTGTTAGCAATCATCGAAGCACGTCATCTCGTCTACGAATGCAATGATAAATTAGGAAGGAAAAAAATAATAAAAAATTACCATCACCTACAAGAACGCGTAAACGTTTCTGAAAAACATCAAAATTAAAACGTTCTTTTGATTTAGGGGTAAACATATAGAGTCAAGTCACGTAAACACTCATTAATTTATGTATGTATAGAGATAATAAGAATTTTACCTAAAGCCGATTTTTCTGTTTAATAAATATTCTGCAAAAAGAAATCATTTTTCACCCCCGATTTTCTACGTCCGACTTAGATATTTTGGTTTTAAGGTAAAATGTACTTAAAATCTACTCACTACTGCTTAAACACATTATTGAAGAGAGGTATGTAGGTAGTGACACACGCAGTAGTGTATCTGGCCGTAAACAGATTCTACAAAGTTCCCAATCGAAGCGACCAGCCGATCAAAAAAAATTGTAACGAATTACTAAAAAGGGTTTTTATTTTTTTGTTTTTGCTTTTTGTATTTTGGGCACGGTCACATTCGGCTGGGAAATCTTAGAATTCGTGAATACAGTCAGTGCACATACGTGAAGTATAACGTCACAAAAGTGACGGTTTTTTCTCATCATGTTCAAGGCGGACAGCGTGTTGTCTTGAAGCTTGTCGTCGGTGAAGATCAATGGGAAGGTCTCCTCCTCTTCCTCCATCTCAATTCCGTTCATCCCGTTCGAATGATACTTCGCGATACCTGCAACATACAATTCATCTTTTAAAAAACCACATACAAGAAAATACTCAAATACTCTTTTTTTACTTACTGTTACTTACAAAGTAACATTATAAGTATCTAAGTTTCGTAATTACATCCAACTAATATGGTATCTATACTATGTTAAGACTAGATATATGAAATTCATTAATATTCTAGTCTTAATATATATTCTAGAATATAGCCAATAGACTAAAATTGAAATTTACCTATGATTACTTAAATATAAAGTTTGATAAGTAACAAGTAGATTTTGCACACATTAATTAACAAGTAATCGCTTAGTGCGCAAATATGTTTGTTTTATTTTTGTAACAAATCCCATTATATAAATTTAATACTGAAATATTCAAAAACGCAAAAGAACAAGTAAAGTATAATCCACTTTACGTTTTTGTATGTATTTATTTGAAGGTTTCAAGTTTGTCTTAGTTTCATTCAGTGAATAATGGAAAGTTTCAAGTGGAAACCGAACAAATGCACAGCGTTCACTCAGTCCGTTTGATTTATTTATGCAATATTTATTTTCGACTCGACTATGTTAAATAATACATAGAGATCGCAATTTGCTCAACGCAGCATCCAAAAATAGAATTTGGCTATTATTCGAGTCAAAATAGAATACCCTCGTATGTGGTCAGGATTCTGAAGATTAGAAACGTGCGCCTTCATCTACATAAATTACAATCTACGGTTGTAAACAGTTCTATAAGCACAAATAAACGGAACAATTCCCAATTACTACTGGTCCAAAAATAAAATTATATCTTGAGTTTCGCACACGAGTCAATATTTGATTTGCGGTGTTTTGTAAACAACAATTGGTTTTCTACAGCGCCAACGTTTAAATTCGCAGCAGATCACAAACATCAAAACAGACGTCATTTAACTGCAGTCATGTATACTTGCGGTTTGGTACTAAAAAAACAAACATATTGTTATTAATGGACAATGTTTTTATTTCCAATGCAAACATGTTTTTCATTCACAAAACTCACACGAAAGAGAGAAAACTGAATTATCCGAATTCTCGAACTTAGAATGATTTAATGCAGTTTTGAAATTCAAAAATTCAGGAGTATCAAACTGTTTTTGACAATATCAGAGGTTAAGTCAAATCTCTTTTTATGCGCTTTATTTTATACATTTAGTTCTTCGTTTAGTCTGGGATATTGGCAATATACGAGGTATAGTTATAGTATCTTCTGAAATATGCATTAAAAATATCTTCAATTGGATAATTATTGTTGTTTTAAAATAAATTGATTCAGCTTAAATTATTTCTTATGGAGAACTTTTATTATGAAATTCGAACAGTCAATTAGAATGGATTGTGTTCAAGGATTCATACAATACATCAGTAATACTGTTTGCTTTATTATGTTTCAAACGCAAATGTTTGCAAGCATTCTGCGCGTCAACCTTCAGAGTGAAGAGGTGGAAAGAAAACACGATGGTTTTCAACAGGTCGATTGGCGTTTTAACCCAAATTGCACGGAGTGGAACCAATTGCCCTAGAAATATACATCACGACAGGACCGTAATCGATTCTGCGATACGTCCAGTGTTTGTGGATGGTGCACAAGGGCACAAAGCACAGTTCGAGGCGCATTTCCTAGGCGGGGATCGTCCTGCTCATACATCCTGTACATCCACACGCAACTGAAATCCCAGGCATCGATCCAAGGCTCACCGACCCCCCGCCCCATCCCCAGCAACTGCCGGTTTGCAACCCCATTTCTGCACCACCAGCACAGCACGTCTGGCGGATAAAGGACCTTCGATACCGTCGACTGGTAAATGGCCAAAGCGTCGCGACGCAAAAAAAACCCTTCACCCGCCCGTCAATACAATGCATCAACAACTCCCTCCCCACACGAAAGAGATTTTTAACTGCTCCCAATTGACCGGACGTCTTCAAAACCACTTAACGACAAACTCGACGAAAAGTCTCGACAGCTACAATTGACAAAAACAAAGGAAAATCTCTTTCTACTTCCGTTTCCTACTTAACGAAAGGTTGTTGGCTCAACGCCAATTAATCAACGCTTCAAGGTCGAATACATCTTCGCACCAGACAAATATTTGCCGAACGTTTGGCGCAATGATTTTCTTTTAAAAAAAATCCCCGTCCTCCCAATTATTACAGACCTAATAATTAAAGACGTACGATTAACACCGTCTGAAATAAATATATATAAGCACGTCCCAATTCCAAGCAGGAAATACATTTCTATTTCTTTCCTATCCGCATTTTTCTGGGATCGTGGGTGAAAATTGTGTTTGCTTTTTTCTTTTTAAATCCGAGTTTCCGTCTTTTTTATTTTGAAAGTCACGTAATTTTAGCGGATCTTCGAGCCAAGGTTGAATTTATCATGGGCCAGCTGCCTATGTTTAATGCCTCAAATAGTATCGCCAGATAGTTCAGTTAATAGTAGCGATACCTACTGTCTGGCAGCAAAATACGCAACAAACAAAAAATAGGTGACTTGTGAAACATTTATTTCGAAATTTAAATAAAGTTTTTAAAAAAAAATCTTTCCGCTAAATTTAAAATACCCCAAACATTGCAAAATACATATAAAACATAGTGTATTTTTACAGTAAATAAAACTAATGGTAATTCCTGCAACTATAAATTAAATTAATTCCAACTTAAATATGATAAAACCTCTGACTAAAACCTTACAAAAACATTTAAAATAATATATATATAAACTTTTTAGATATAATTTTAACAATGATTTAACTTCCGTTTTATAAACGTTCGGTAATACCTACAAACATATTTTCTGAAACTTCGGGAAAATAAATAACATAAAAGTTATAATAATTGATATATGTGATCTGTTTGAAAGTTGTCCCTACGTGTAATCAGATGACAAAATGTAAGTTCGTGCGATTAAAGACACATAAATGTACAGAAAATGGGTCTTATATAAGAGATGTTCATTAAACGAAATTTCACCAAAAAATCGCCAGATTTGTCATATATTCTCTTAACCTGTTTAAATTGCTGGATATATTTTTTAGTAAATATTGATTTTTCATGTTGATGATTGATGCGAATAAGATCAAGAGTTTATTGAAAAAAAACTTACTAAGATAAAATCAATTGAAAATATGTAGGATATACTAGTATTAAATCGTAAGAAAACTGGAAAAAAACATAACACCAATAAAGTTGTGAATGTATAAACCAAAGATCAATATACTAAAATATCCATTTTAACATTGGTACGTACTTCGTTATTATTATTATATTTTCTTAATAATTAAATAAAATAACTTGTTAGAAATTAGAACATACACGATAATTAGGTTTGATAAAAAAAAAGATTTTAAAGCAAATAACAAAAACTTCTTGTTGCGCCGTGTAAATTACAATGCAAAAAGCCTTGACCCATTTTCTGCCCTCGACTTTTCTCTTCGCTGCCCTTTATTTTCCCCCTGAAGACCAGCAGCTTCCATTCTCATCGCAACAACTAAAACCCGTTTATACAGTGACGTCCATTCAAGCATTGTCCGATTGTTCAGCGCATACAAGTTTCAACCCCATTTATACAAATACCATCATTGATGTAAATAACTACACGTATCTCTCTGCCCAAATGCGCAGAATACGCGCACAATTCAAAACGTGAAAATTGAAGTATCGAACGCAAATAAATGTATAATTAGCGCAATAATAGCGGACATAAAAAAAGACACGTACTGAATGATTTTCTGAATAACTTACGTCAAAACAATTTACACCTAATTGACTGTGAATTACACCATGCGTCGCAGTGTTGTGTAACGCGAGGAAAATAATATACTGAATATAATCCTGTAAAAAAATATATATATACATCATCACGAAAACCTTCGTTTAATGCGATCATTCATCAATCCAATTTATTCTTGTGTAGGTCACGTGCACGTTACGAGGGGGCAAAAAGGGTGATTGGGTGGGTGTTCTATGTCACCCCCTTTCATCGTATCCGATGAGGTTGTAATGTATTGCCTATGCAGTCATCAATCGATTCCCTTTAACCGCAGCAAATAGGTCTTCTAACTACAAATTAATTGTCTCGACCTCGTTGACCTAATGGTCATTGTCCGAAGGAGGATACAATTCATTGCCACGAAAATATAAAACGAGAATCATTCTCGACCGAGACCAACCAATAAAAGATGATGGTTACTAATGATGGGTATACAGCTTCCGCCCAGTAAGATGTATTCGACGTAGAGATTAAAAGTAGCTAAAAATAGTTAAAACCGATGTTCGGGCACCATTCCTGATCGCGCTCAGAATGAAACAGAAAAAACATATATTGTAGAAGGAAAAACAACGTGAATACGCACAAAAATAAAACCAATTAACGTTTGGATAACTCTCAATTTTATAATTAAATCACTGCTAAATATATCCGGACACAATTAACTTTCGTTTTCGTTCAGTCTAAATGTAAACACAACACAGCAATTGATTGAAATTTTTATATGCACAAATAAAAACTTAATTAGTTTATCGAATATTTATATTAATTGATGCTTTAACTAGTTATTCTATACATTACCTAGTTATTATATCAAATAACAGAATAATATATTAAAAAATAATATAGTCATTATTAAAAGGAAATATTTCAATACAGTGAACTGTTTAATACAACTATTTCTAATAGATATTAAATAAAATAAGTACAACAAAACCTGTCTTTAATCAGTCCGGATTCACTATATAGTCCGGTTTGTAAATTTCAAAACGAAGAAAACTTTCATTGAGTAAAATGAAAATAAATTCTTTAAAATTGCTTAGTTTTTCGATTAGACCGGCTTCAAACAGTCCAGGATCTTGGAAAAAACAATAATCCGTACTATGCGAGGTATTATTGTATTATTGTCGACGTGAGTGCTAGGTATTTCTGTTGATTAAAACTTTTTTCCTAAAGCCAAATTATTTTCGTAGGTAGTAATTACCAATTACCTACTAGATAAGACTGACACACGAAAAGTATTTGTTTCAAAATGTATTTAGAAACCTTGGAAACACAGTTATATCGATCTAAATACTTATTTCATGCGCATATTTAGTATTTGTAATTTAAATCATGCGTACAATTATTCTGCAATAATTGATTTTGTAAAAAAAACTATTTAATGAAATCGATTATTATAGAATAATCATTAATTTGCTTTTAATTGAAGTATGGGTGTGCAATTATTCAATAATGTAACGTTCCGTGACTTCGAAAAACCTTTTGTAAAAATGTCAAGTTTTTCCATGTGCGTCCGTCGTGGAAAGCTTCATGATTAATGCACGGAACCGTCTCGACTTTCGCATTGTTCCATGCATAAATCGACAAGAATACAGGAGACTGGATTAAACGAAGAAAATAATAGCAAACCGCATAATGTGTACATGGAACTATGAATATAAACCGTAAACTTATCAATTTCTTGATAAAAATGAAATCAGATCGAGGCATGTGTATGGAGAAATTACGTGTTTTTTTTTGTTTAATTTTAAAATTACTACCATAAAATAAAAGTAAATAACCTATTAGTTTTGTTATTTGTGTAGTCTACTTATTATGGATTTACTTATAAAATGTACTAATTTTAGTATAGAGACGAATTTGTAAAGTCATAACAACAAAATTTTAATTAATTTTCAATAAAAAAAATAATTGTTTTATTAGATTTAGTTGTTAAAATGATTAAATTATGAAACAATATGAATTAATTATGTATTAAATAATTATTTTCAATCGATTCCTCCAATTTATTAATGTTAAAATTAGTGGAATGTTTGCACGCGATACACGCGCAGTTTGTGGGCTTTTATTCCAGTGACATTGAAAACTGAGTCGCGGTTTTGTGTTGCAAAAAAAAAATATGATACACCAAAAATAGCGTGCAAAATGCAAACCGAACAAAATATTCTCGTATTCCAATACGAAAAAAGTTTATTTAATTGGAATGTAATAAATTCTTACGAAGTAGTAGTTTTTCCTAAGAGGTATAGAATCCTTATCAACTCGAAAAAAAGTGAACTTATCGGATTATCGCCGTGCGCTCGGTCTGTATCGTCGTCATAAGACTTGTTGTCTGACGAAATTGCATATCATGTGTTTCGTTGGTAACAGAGATTACACGAAGTTTCGTCGATTGAACTGAACCTAATTAACCGAAAAGTGTAGAAACGTATAAGATAACGTTACATTTAATTGCTTATTGATAAAATTAAAGCAAATATACGCAATATTCTCTCTGTTCATATAATCAGATGAAAAGTAAAATTCGGTATTTTGCACAATAAGTAAACTCAATTATGTTGGTTGTTTGTAATTGTTCTGCGACCCAGCTGTCATTTCACGACCCACTAAAAATATAAGGTTGAGAACCTTTGCTGTAGAATACCTAAAAATTGAAACAGTATTTCATTTTGAATATTGTCTTAGCCAGCGTTTCTCAAACTTATTGGTCCGCAACCCCCTTTTGCACTTTGGTCAAAGTCTAGAAATTTGTTGGGTCTAGAAATATAGGAATTTCTTGTCCTTCAAAGAATTAAAGCGACTTGGTAATTCAGATAAGATGTATCATTCTTTGTTATACTTTGCCAAATTTTGCAAGTATACTTTATAGCTAACACATACATCATTAACAAGTTCCAGCATGCACTAAAGCGATTAACATAAAATGTATTTATACATTGTAGTCACTGCTGAATTACAGATTAATATCCTAGTGTGTAGATATAAATAAATGATTAGTTTTACAATAATTTTATTATATTGCATTAGATATTGTATATTTACCATTGGTAGCTGCAGCGGTGGCCATCTCGAAGTAGTTTCTAGCTGCGGTCTTTGGGTCTGATGCAATCAACTGAAAATGAGAAAAAAATGTAAAGATGTTTTATTACATAACCATATGAAATTCCGCGAAATTAAACAATGAAAGAAACATGTTTAATACTGGAAAATAAAACCAAATATAATATTTTATATGAATACATAAATTATTTTAACAAATTTTACAATTTACGCTTCACTCGAATATAATCATTTATTTTTATAATTTTAACTAAAAACAAACAACTTTTCCTACAATTGCCTTTCAGTGAAATGTTGTTTCCAAAGTTTAGTTGTATGAGTAATAATGACTCATAGTTGAAGTTATTCTTGTTTGCTGTAGGAAAGTTCGAGTTCAATCTTATTTAAATATAAAAAATGATTCGTTTCTGTCAACTATTATATTGTTGCATCTACGCTAATCGTGTTAAGTTAAACAGTTCAAGATTCCAAATGGAACAAAAGAATAGTATAATGTGTAGGCTAATAACATTGAACAATAAAAATCGGACAACCTAAATTCGTTACCTTGGCATTATTAACAATTAGTCTGTAGGCGCGTTTCGCAAATTTACGACATGCGCGCGTTAAAATATACTTGAGCTGTATGAAATGTACGTATTCATCAAGAACTCACGAGTGCAGTCAGTTCTGTGAGGAATGTAAGCCTTTGTTGACAGATACATTAAATCTGGTGTAAACGTGTTTGAATGTTTAGTCTTGAGCGAAGCTATATTTAAAATCTAAATAATTGTCAGAACTGCATCAACAGAATAAACAAACACTTCCTAATACAAAATTATAATAACATTTTTTAAGTTTATGTTATAAAATGGTGTCATTATATTATGATCGACATATAGGTAACATCTGTAGATTTACTTACAAATCATGACAATTCAATAAAAAAATATAAGACCAAATATTCTGGACCTTTTTGAAACTGGTTTAATTGAGAACCACATAAAAAGAGACTTGATAAAGTACAAAACAAATAATTGAGTGTACTAATTATATAGAATTTGCTCAATTAAATTTAGTTTGTTTTGAAATTTTTAAACTGGATTTGATCGAAGCGGGACTATGTGAGATATTACTGTATTTTATTGAAACCATTCGCGTTTTTATTTTTTCAGTTTAATAAATGATAATTGTAGATTTCCTAATGAAAACAAACGTTTGGTTTGAAATTACGTTTTATCATGCACATTTGCAGCACAGTGACCCCGGTTTCATTTTTTTTTGTATAGAAGTGAAGGTCATGTAATGGCATTTTGCCGCACTCACTAAATAATTATACCGTACTCTATTTGAACACACGGCTTCATTTGATTATTTGTAAAATTGAATTGTCTTTTCTTTGTATACAAAATTGAAACTATAGTTTACTTAAGCCTTAAAGATTTAGTCAAATATCATGCGGGCACAAAATTCATGATGAAATAAGACTTGGTCTCAAACTATTTATGTTGTAAAGCATTATTAAAAAAATAGACGCAACTAAAACAATTTTTGATCAACATGTTGTGAAGAAAAAAATCCAAAAATAGACTTTTTTTTTATAAAATCCATCAAAACTTTGTAAAAAGTGTGTATTAGGCTGAAATAATTTATGATCAAAATAATGAGAATTTGTTTTTAAACAAAATCAGATACTAAAAATTTGTTGAATTGCATTTAATTATCATATAAATTGTAAGAAACTTTCAGTTTTAGGAATATTTTTCTGAAGAAAAAAATGTTAGTCATGCAGTGTATATTTTTAAACTTGGATTTTCGCATGAGTTATTCATTGAGTATGCATGCAAAGATGAAAACCGATTCATATGGAAACTTGATAAATGTATAATTCTCAATAACTTAAATGAAAAAAAAAACGTGAATCGCGTGTAGCCACTTCAGTCTTTGCTTGTAAATCCCCAATTATTGAATCGTATTTTATCGTACTAAATACAATATATATAGATAAAATCGTGAAATAACTGTTATCCATTAGTCCTACTTAGAAATAATTAAATCAATAATTTCAGTTTTTATTACCTACAAGAAAATATAATATAGTGGAAACTCACTTAACGAGTTTAATCCGTCCAAAAATTTCCGGATTTTACTCTTGAAACATATTAAAAATACACATAATATGTGTACACAAGTTTTAAAAATGATGTAGCAGGCGCACAATCCTAGTCACTCGTTATACGAAACGTCGCTCGTTAGGCGAGTCATTTTTCTTACAATTAATTTTGCTCGTTAAGCGATAGTGAATTTTACTATTCTCTTTGATTGTTTCTTTTATTATAATCTGTATATTGTATTCTCGTGTTATTTATTTGTTACTATTATGACAGATTATCGTTTTATTTGACATAAGTTTTGGTAAATTACCGGTGTTATTACGTCAACTGTCAGACACTACTGAATAGTTAACAACAATATGTACAATACATATGAAGTACAATAAACATTTGAAGGAAATAAGAAAACTATTTTTACATATTGTATTGACTTGCTTGGTGTATGGTATTCATTACTATAGCAAACTATATCAATTATGACAAATTTTCATTCAATTTGACACACGTTTTAGTAAATTACCGACATTACTCAAACTATCTTAATCTGTCAAACAGTTTACTACCAAATAGTTAACAACAATTTGTAATTTATATAATTCAACTTCAATACTTATGAAGTATAATATTTCTAAGCTTTCTGTTATTAAGAAGTTCTTTAACACTTTGTCTTCTGACAGTACTTATAAGTACCGGTCATTATTTAAATCATAAAGAGACGTGAAACAGACCTAACTACTTGTTGGTACTTTTATGTAATCTTTATATTGTATACAAAAATGATTTGTTTTGCAATACTCACTCAGTGAGTACAAAACTACATTCAAGTAATACTTGTCACTTCTGTATAGAATACCATGAAATAAATTGTGATCTAAATCTCTATATTTCTAAATCTATCTAAATTTATAGGCAAGATAATTTTAATATGATTTAAAGGAAATCCAAAGAAAAATATTATTTTGTTTTAATTATGTTCCCTTTGCTAGGTTATACTATATAACTAAATATCAAAATTTGACATTTAACGAAAAAGGTGAATACAGAAATTCGACATTAAAATATATAAAGTGCACTGAATACTCATGAAAAGTAGAACACAATTACTTAGTTGCTCTTAATAATCCATTTATTACTTTATTTGTCGATAAATAAATATCAAAACTTGACATTTATTTCATTATATTCGACTTTAATACATATAAAGTACAATGGACATAAAACAATTACTTAGTTCATTGTTTATTTACTTTATTAATGAAATTTACACTACATTTGTCGAATTAATGACTTTTATAAGGTGAATGAAAAAAATGTTAACCATATACTCGTATGAAATGTAGTATTACGATTGAAATACAATCTTAACTCGTCGTGCGATAACGCAGAGCGCGACAACTGAATAGCAACAAACTTATCAAACGTATAATTAATGTTATCAGACTGGAAACCATTTTCTTAGGTTCCGGTTCAATGCGTTCGTATTGGGTATTTCTCGCATATTGATCACTAACAATAGAACGTCGCACGTTGTTCAAGTGTATTACTATCCTCGTGTAAAGCAACACCTGTTCCATAACAGTAGATTTTTATCATGGATATCACACAAAATAATAAATTAGGATGAAATTTATGTATATAATATAATAGAAATATAATTTTATTAATATCAAATTTTAGTATTTTTTTTAACTATGACTATAATTATAAATTTTAAGTTGACAAAGACTTAATTAATAAAATTCTACAGAAAAATGAAATATTATTATTATTAAAAATGTTATATTCTAATTACTCTATAATACATAATTTCAAAGTAACTTGATTAATTCAATCGCTTTTTAGTAATATCTTGATTATAAAGTATTGAGACGTGAACAACATATATAAACAAAATATAGTAAATTCATATGAATATTTTGGTTAATATAAATTATTTAGACTAATTAAAAAAATTATTTATGTTAGGTTATATTATGTTATTATATCAGCAAAACCTCGCATAGTCCGGCTTCGATTAGTCCGGTTTTGAAAATTTCGAAACAAAGAATATTTTAATTGAGCAAAATAAAAAATCCAAAAAAAATATTTCATCACTTTTTGTATGTATTTAGTTCCTACGAGTTTAGTTAGACGAAGTAATAAATTATTATTTTTTTTAATTGTATTTATTACAATTTTTAATCAATGTTTCTGATGTAATTATGATTGTAATTATTCGATGTAATGCAGACATTTATAATATTTTATTCAAAATATTGATCATTAATTTTAAATTCTGACCAAATAAATAGCACTGCTTGATTTAATTAATTAAAATTTATTACATACACAAAAACATTTATATACAAAAGACTGTTGGTAGCAGCCTTTCCGCCCTAATTAATTAATATAAATTGGTTTTCAGCCACCAAAAACACTGTAATTGTATAATATTAATGTGTTTAAATAGCTACAGGAAAGGCTTCACAGTTTGTTTTCAGCGCGTGTTCAATCACACCGTTTAAAACGATATCTTATCAAAAGATGTGTAAAATATTATTAAAAAAAAGAAAGAATGCATGTACGTTGTTGGTAAATGAAATAATTTTGTTCCGCTTTGCTGTGAAACTACGATGCAAACGTCTAGCGGTTTTCTGGAAAACGCATTTTCTAAAGACGCGGAATTTGCAATGCTTTATTATATTGCATAATGTTTTAAACGTTTGGAAAGGAGAGTCGAACAGGTAAAGAAAAGAAGACCATGTGCGACCATTGAGCACGAATCTGGTTTACCCAGAAAAAAGGAAGATGGTAACACACAAAAAAAACTTCCCCTAACGTCTCATTGATGTTGAACAGATGTGAACGAAATATAATAACAATACCGTTCTTATTTGAAAGTCAAATGTAATTGAACGAACGTAACGTGTGATTAAACTATGAATAATTTAATATCATTGCCGTTAATCGATAGCACGGTTTTGTTTATTTATTTACTTGTTATTTGTTTGATGCGTAGGATATTGAGTTGTTACGTGCGCACGGCTTCCATCAAGGGGAGAAAAGCGCGCAAAAATGCGCAATTATATTTATCTGCGAAATCCGAAGGTCCGTTTTGATTGCTAGATCAACAATCGATCCAGATACCGAAATGTCAACAACAGGACAACAAATGAAAAAAATAAATAAACAATTGATTATTATTATATAATTTTTGTTATTGTTTTTCTTCAAACCGGTATGAAAAGAATATTGTTAATGGATTCGCTTATGTTTGATTCATTAATTGTTAATATTTTTATAAATATAAAAGGCGGCTTTGTAAAGTTTAACGAACGGAATGTCACGCGCGCTAAATAATGAAGAGCGTCGAGAGACAAGATGAAGAAGTGTATATATAAAAAGAAGTAAGGAATTGGAAGATCTTTGGGGGATGCTGGGACTTTACTTACCGGTTCCAATGGAACTAAAGATCTTGGGATTCCCTACGGACGATCTCAGGACAAGAAACACAGGACTTCGCGTACACCGAAAAAACACAACAATGTAGCAGTCCCAGCGTGGTCACGCCATGTTATGCGCGTCCTTTGTCGGTCCTGCGGTGATTTATATACGATATAGACAGACTCTAGAGGCGCAGCGAGCGATCGAAATCTAGACGGATTTCACAATCAGTTATCTATTATTCTAGAGTGGTTGCATACCGCACCGACAACGTAACATGGCTACACGCTAAGAGATGTCAGGATTGTGCTCGACGTTGTGTTGATAATTTGGTTGCATAATGTTGCTGATTGTGATATCACATTGATGTTATAGAACAGAGTTTTTCAATCTTTATGAAGTCTTACCTATGTTTTTTTTTATACAACTCTTCAACAAGTACTGATAGTCACCTGTATCATGAAATTCCAATAGGAAAGCAAACAAAAAACCAACAAAAATTTGTGGTGGCAGATAAACCCGAAAAGTGGTAGAAAAAGGGCCAAAAGATATATAAACCCTTCAGTGAGTACAAAGATCTAGGCGACATAAGCCAAGTATCATAAGAGGTGAAAGTCTTTAAGAAGAAAGAAGAAGAACCTTTACGATAAAAAAATTGTACTTGTAGTTAAATTTCAACGGCACACGAATAAATTAATATAATTATTTAATAATGATAAGTATACTTATAGTACCTTGCATTTCTATTGAAAATAATTTCCTTTCTTCTTAATTTACTCCTTCCGGAATACATTTGGTTGGTGTCTCTTAGCACCATTTTTCCAGCCTCCATCCTGTTTTTTGTTCAATTTTTTAGTGATTGATTTGGTACAGATTTAAAGAAGAGTTTCGTTTTTTTTGTTGCAAAATACGGTAGTTATTCGAGTAATTGTGTTTTGAAAATAATTTAATTACAGTGGAACCTCGCTTAACGAGTACCTTGCATAACGAGCGATTCGCTTAATGAGCAAAATAAATTGTAAGAAAAATGAGTGTTCTAAAAGGACCTCTGACCTACGTCAACTGACGCTTCATTAAATTCTCGTGACCGACGTTATTTGGCAACCTATATATCTACATTAACGTTTTGATTTATATTGGAATTTTTGACATTACGAAAGCATTTTCTATTTTTAAATATTTAAATAATAAAATACATATACAACCGTATCATTTCCGTCCAAATTTAAATATATTAGTCATTTTTATTAATAGCTTATTGAGTATATATTTGAATGTATGCAATGAATTAGTAATAATAAGAAAGACCACTCTTAGACATATTATATTGACATTGACCCATGTGCAGATATTTTTATTCATTTATATATTTAAAAATTACCTCAAAATCAAACATATAAATTACAATTGCAAAGGGCGTTCCATTAAGAGCTGATTAATTAGTAATTTTTTAAATAAAATGAGAACGAAATGTGGTTCCCTATATCCATATAATCTATTTTAATCCACAAAAATCTTGATTATTACTATTTATTGTCATTTTCTTAATTAACATTTTAAAATATATAATCATCAATATTACTTAACAAAAGAAACGTCGTATTTCTTAATACAGGTACTCCTCACTTTAAGACCGAGTTGCAGAACGAAATTAGTCGTAAGTACGAGTGATCGTTAAGAAGGTAGGTCATAAAGCGAGGAGGAATACCTGTATATACTTGAGTTGTTATTATATTTACAATTGCGGAGAATTTGTTTGTTTTAACTTGTTAGTAACTTATACATTTTAAAATTTGTATTCAAAATATGTATAATGTACAAAACATTTCAAGGCAAGACGTAATTTGTTATCTCTCTGAAACGAAGAGATCTAATTACGCTTTGTACGCAAATTTTTAACTTCCGCCACTTTTACACTATCAAAATTATACATAAATATTACTTTTAAATGTATTTGTTACACAAATGATTTAAGTACTTAAGTACGGTTTTATAAATTTAATTTTATATCACATTACTTTTTAATTATAATTTTAAAAACCGCAATATCTTGGTGATTTCACAATTGTACTAATTCTACTTTTTTTAATTTTTTCTTGTATTATTTTATAAATTACTGCACATTTTTGTATAAAATCGAGTTATTATTAGTCCAGTGCAGAAAAGTTTTTTTTATAAGAAATTATTTTTTAAAGTATAAAATATTTTTTATTTCCACTATTTATTGAAGATTTATTGTATATGAATAAATGAAACACAATGAAATATTAATGAATAAATGTAAATTGAACGGAAATGTAGATGAAAAATCACCCGCCTCAGCTACAAACACCCCTCTTCTACCCTATACAACCTTGTCTCCTTCCCTAACATCCATGACATCATTAAAAAAAAACTCCAAAGCCGACTCGCAAATCATACCTTGAACACCGCATCATATCATTTTTTCATCGCCCATCTGGGTCATCCCTCTCCAAAAGTACCAAAGCCAATTCTCTATTAATTTATATCCTGCTCTGATCTGTTCTGTTTTTATTTTGTTTCATCTTGTATTTTTGTCATACTATTATTTCTATTTTTGTGTATCAAACTTCTGAAATTCCATACCGGTCTCCGCTAATATGTAAGCTATATAATATTTATAAAATTAATAAAGTTAAATGCATATAGTTTAATATCAATCAAAATATATTTAGTTTCTCCTTTTTTATAACTAAAAAAATAATACGCAATACTAACTAGTAACAAAGTTAACATTGTATAAATGCATAAAATTTAAACAAATATTACAAATTAATCCGAATTACAACATTGTAAATGTATGGATTTAGCAAGAGATTAGAAAAAGGATATAGCAAATGTAGAAATTGATAATAAAACCAATATATGTCGTAATATATTATAATGATATTTTTTTATTCTGAAACCACTATATCCTATTCTATTTAATTTAATTTAAATATAGATAAATATCACCACAGAAGCGTCATATAATGTTTATTATTATATAAAAAAATGTGGTATTAATTTAACCACAGCAGTGAAATTTTATAGATTTTGTAATATTTATTCAATATTTTTAAATATAGATGTTTGTGATTGCAGCAAAACATCATATAATATCAACATCGTGTTTAAAATCGTACTAAATATATACTAAAATATACAGCACAAACAGATACATTTTTGTATAAAATTGTGTGCTATTTTTTAGAATTTATTTGTATTGTGCTGAAATAGGACTGAAGTAAATCCGGACAGATCAAATCCGCACTAAGCAAGGTATTGTTATGTATTATTATATAAAAAAAAGTGTAATACGTATATCAATTGAAAATAAAGAAAAATATTATTTTATAAGTATAAAAAAAATCAACAAACTTTGATACAAAAATATCATTTAATTTAAATAATAGATACACAATATTAGCAAATGTTGACAATTAATTTAATATGTTCAAATAAATAATTTGTCTGAAATTGCATTTATGATTGGTGTAATAAATTAGGGACGGCGAGATGCAAGATTAAAGTTAAATCATTAATCAAAGCGGTGGTTATGTGTGTCCTGCATGAGCTGGTTCGTGTTGGAAACTAATCCAACGTATGAGAGAGAAAGAGAGAATGAAGCAGAGAGAAAAAAATGGGAAATATTATGTTCCCAATTGGAAAGTAGGAAACGTCCGTATGTAACGTCACGTTTTCCAGCAAACGTCGTCTGTTAAACGGGGCATTAAATCGGTGCAGAGAAAGGGAGTAAAAATCGGTTTGCCCGCAACTGAGGCAGGTATTTTGAAAGAATATTGTAAATACAGTTATCTGCCTCTCTGATGTTTGCATATTTAAATAGCAAAGAAACTAACATCTTAGTTTATAAAATTATATGCTTAAATTAGTTTATTATTGTGTTTGATCAGCTTTGAATATATGTTATTATACAGGAATACTTTGTATAGTGCGGTTTCGTCTATATATCCGCACTGTTTAAAACCGCACTAATCGAGGACTTTAAAATCATATAAAAAATAAACAGCATAAGAAGAGATTTGACTGTATAAAGAAATGTGAATAAACAATAATGTTATGTAATATTTTTAGAATTTATTTAGATTTTATAAAATTGGTTTGGGAGGTATTGCTGTATTAATAATCTAGTCGTCGTGATTGCAAATTGAGGTTTATTTCCACCAATTTTCAATTTGTTTTTTTTAATAAGCTTTTTCTGTTTCTTAATTTAAAAAATACATTAATATTAGTATAATTTAATTAGATTGCAATCTGGTTTACTGAAAATATATTGTGTATATTCAAAGTATTATTTGTAATGTATAAATGTGTTTTTTCTCAATGATTATTATTAGTGTTAAAAGCTTTGATAATGTTGGTTAAACATTTGGGCAGATTCAAATTATTATTGATTTACACCACACATCATCATTCGTATTTCGACCACCTCCAGGCAAATGCGTCACCCGTTCACCAACAACAAAGATTCCCTTTCCATCAGCTATCCTCGACGCATGTACCTCATTTGAAGACCTCATACTAACCCATCTCACCAACATCATCAACCCCTCTGTTTTGAACGAAGTACTAAGTTGTACGGGTGAATGGAATAAATCGTTTTGGGGTTTCAAAGATCACTTAAACACCTGTTCAACTAATAATGTTCTTCTCTATGCTTAACTACTACAAGCTAAGCTTCTTCATCCAACCAAAAACTCTCATTATGAACCACCCAAGGATCGAATTATTACCAGTTTCTGAAAATACCATTTTTTTAAAACGTAAATCATAATGACAAAAGTGCTGATGCTTACTGACGCATGTATCAATTGCAATCTAAATTAATACTTAATAAAAACTGAAATATACATAAAAATCACAATTGTGTAGAATTTTATATACAAATTATAAAAGTTTCGGTCAAAATTAAGTCAACTTTATAACATATTCTTATGTAGAAGGTATTGAAAATATTTCTGAATACATAAAATATTGGGTTGGCAATAAAGAAATTTCGATTTTATAATTTGAAATAAAACTCATTTCTTCGAAACTTTATGCAATGTCAGCGCAACATCACTTCCAAATCAAGCTTCAATAATTTTACACGAGATACCAATGATGTGTGAAGCCTTGCATTGTTTTGGTCAAACACGATTTCTTTGCGAAGTAA